GTAAGGTGACGAAGCAGCGATTTATCAAGTTAGAAACATGCGAACTACATGTAAAAATGTGTAAAGGTATTTATAAGGTTTATAATCTGATATGGTTTCAAAATATTTACAAACGAATGAAAGGGAGTTATTAAATTTCATATCTGGTCTATACTGTAAAAGTCTTAATATAGCTAAAGTTTAAACATCCATAGTAATATTATTAGTGCAGTAAAAAAATTTCTTATCAATTAGAAGGAAAATTTTGTAAAAGAATCATATCACAAACAAATGTGTGTATTAATAATAACTGATTAAGCTTTAAACGTCAACTATCGGGTGTTGTAAAATTTGTTTAGGTAATGCTGTTTGGTTGTGATATCGTGACAGGTCCACCTGTCCTCAGTGCATAATCGCGATGATGGAAGTAATCATGGTGTCGTATTCATTCGATTCTTAAGACCAGCCGTGTGCCATACTCTACAACAAGTAAGGGGATATAAAACGTACTAAGATAAGTTATGTTGAGGTAATAAATATAAATTATGTTTAAATTACAGATTCTCTTAATTAAATTTTACTGCAGTTGCAAATAAATTACAGTTAAATGTTTATAATAATTATTACTACGATTAATTGTGTTTATGAAAAGTGCTATTTTTGTGTTGTGTTAAAAGAATGTTCCCAGGAATACTTATTGGTCTACGTGAGGCTCCTACCAAGAATTCAAGCCGTGAATTTAAATGTTAAACAATTCTAAAAGTGTGAGATGCGCAGTTTGAAATATTCCAAAGACAGATATAGAAAAAGTAGCATTGATCGAAATTTATCGTTTTTGTCTATCCGCTTGTTCAGATTGGATAAATGGTCTCAGCGTAGAAACAGGTATGACTTGGAAATGTAATTAAAAAAATGAGTAAATAGAGTTGAGTGAAAATTAACATTTTCAAATGTTAACTTTTCTTGCTTTTAACGTTGATATTACAGTTTTATGATTAAGTAGAGTTTCGTGTTGCTAAAATATTTTTCAGGAAGCGATAGAGATTTACATTAGACTTTGCAATCACACGAGGAATAAATGGAAATAGAAATTCATCCTGACAAATAATATGAAAGAAGTTGTATCCAAAGACGTATTCACTGTACAAAATCGGGGGAAAAGATATATGAGAAGAAAGATTTAAGAAGCGTATAAACTATTCAGTCAGAAAACGTCAGCTCTCATGCAGTAAGTGATCAAAAATGTTTAATCCCCAATTTATGATAAAAAACTTAATAATTTCGGCAATATAGTAAATTGAAAATTAATAATCCAGAGTAACATGTAGGAATATAAAAAAAGACTGCTTATTTTGTGAATTAAAAATTATGGTTAATCAAAGTATTGTCATGTAACTTAAAAAGTTAATAGATTGGCTTTTGGTAATTTACAAGAGTATTAATGTAGGTCTTTAAACAAAGATGGCGTGTTGTTAATTTTATTTAGGTAAGGCTGTGGGTTGAGATTGTGCGCGGACTCCAGTGAGTGGATGAACGCCGCGTGATTTCTCATGATGTCTGAAAGTTTTCAAGCCTCGGCGTGTACTGTACCTTGTAACAAGTAAGGTTTAAACCTAGATGAATCCTTTTTTCAAAAATAACTACATAGATGATACCGTAATTATGTTTTACCTAGTTGTTAAGATAAAGTTAACCGACAATTAATAATTTCCATGATGGTCTTTTTTAACATTAATTTAAACAAACGCAATGAATAAATTATACGTATGTAAGTTAAATGAAGAAATTGAGTATGGTTGGTTGTGTTGTTCCAAAAGAATGTTTACAGGAAATAGGAGTCTTAACATTAAGACCGGCCGTTGAAAGATATTATGTGTTACGCAATTTGAAAATAATGAGCTACGCAGTAAGGTGACGAAGCAGCGATTTATCAAGCTAGAAACATGCGAACTACATGTAAAAATGTATAAAGGTATTTATAAGGTTTATAATCTGATATGGTTTCAAAATATTTACAAACGAATGAAAGGGAGTTATTGAATTCCATATCTGGTCTATACTGTAAAAGTCTTAATATAGCTAAAGTTTAAACATCTATAGTAATATTATTAGTGCAGTAAAAAAATTTCTTATCAATTAGAAGGAAAATTGGGTAAATAAATCATATCACAAACAAATGTGTGTATTAATAATAACTGATTAAGCTTTAAACTTCCAACTATCGGGTGTTGTAAAATTTGTTTAGGTAATGCTGTTTGGTTGTGATATCGTGACAGCTCCACCTGTCCTCAGTGCAATGATGGAAGTAATCATGGTGTCGTATTCATTCGATTCTTAAGACCAGCCGTGTGCCATACTCTACAACAAGTAAGGGAATATAAAACGTACTAAGATAAGTTATGTTGAGGTAATAAATATAAATTATGTTTAAATTACAGATTCTCTTAATTGAATTTTACTGCAGTTGCAAATAAATTACAGTTAAATATTTATAATTATTACTACGATTAATTGTGTTTATGAAAAGTGCTATTTTTGTGTTGTGTTAAAAGAATGTTCCCAGGAATACTTATTGGTCTACGTGAGGCTCCTACCAAGAATTCAAGCCGTGAATTTAAATGTTAAACAATTCTAAAAGTGTGAGATGCGCAGTTTGAAATATTCCAAAGACAGATATAGAAAAAGCACTTTTCTTGCTTTTAACGTTGATATAACAGTTTTATGATTAAGTAGAGTTTCGTGTTGCTAAAATATTTTTCAGGAAGCGATAGAGATTTACATTAGACTTTGCAATCACACGAGGAATAAATGGGAATAGAAATTCATCCTGACAAATATTATGAAAGAAGTTGTATCTAAAGATGTATTAACTGTAGAAAATTGGGGGAAAAGATATATGAGAAGAAAGGACTCCAGTGAGTGGATGAACGCAATGAAGAACACGCGAGATTTCTCATGATGTCTGAAAGTTTTCAAGCCTCGACGTGTACTGTACCTTGTAACAAGTAAGGTTTAAAACTTGATGAATATTTTTTTCAAAAATAGCTATATTGTTGATACCGTACAGTGTTAGGTTAGGTATGTAAACTACGATTGCATGTTGTTTATTTTTTGGTGGGCTGTGGGTAGAGATTGCGCGTGGACAAACACGATGAAGAATATATGTGATTTCTTTTACTAGGGGCTAATTTAAGTAGTAGTTTTTCTTGGTTCTTGCATTGTAATTTAACTTTTTTTCTTGTTCTTAACTTGGTAACGTGAAACAGATTGGTTGTACATTATTGGCATGAATTATTGGATGAATATACTATGCTTAATTTTTTAACAGAGAATCCTTTTAATATTTATAACAATCTTTTTACCTATGAAGCCATTCCCCATCCATGGTTGTTGGTGTGATGTACTCTTGACTGTCACACTTAACTGTGCAAGATTTTGAGGACATAGCCCAACAACCACATCCGGCTCTTGGTAGGGGTTCTATTAAAGTAAAAAATCGTTTTTTGGAGTTGATGATGACTTTAACTTTTCTGAGAGCATATTAATTTTTTCCCCTAACAAATGTTAAGTCAACCAAAAGCAGTCTTAATTTCTGTTTCAGAAACTACCTGGTCCTGCAAATGTCTTGTATAATATTTACTGTAATGTTTGTCTTTTATAGTAAGCACGGCTTTTCTAAATACCACTTCTTAATATTTGTTATTAATTCTTTCCTGGATAAACAGAAATGAACAGCCACTATTGTTTATGATATGTTTCAGATAACTTGCTACACGTTTTTATTCCTTTGAATGTAGAAATTAAAATGCACCCTTCAACATAGCTATATTATTACAACGTGCAACCATTTCTAAGAATTATAATTATTTAAGGAATCCAGTTTATTCTTCTATTCTTGTTTACGTGGTTTAAACACAGGAGCTTGTCCTCTTTGTAGTTTTTCAGAAATAAGAAAAAAATAATGGTGTTTGTCCAAGGAACAAAGAAAATGTGAAGATAGAATTTCTCTTAAAGGTTTCTCTTGCTGCTTTTTATTGGTAACTGTATGTTCTCTGGCATTATCACAAGTTAGTATTATTGCCTGTTGTGTTCATATTTAAATGTATTTTGGTTTAATTTCATCAAACGTAATATGATAGTTAAGCTTGTAGGAAATTAACAGCCACTATAGTGCATGATGTTTCAGACAACTTGCTACACAGTCTATTCACGTTTAAGTGGTTTAAACACAGGAGCTTATCCTCTTTGTAGTTTTTCAGAAAAAATAATGGTGTTTGTCCAAGGAACAAAGAAAATGTTGTAAAGAAAAAAAAGAGAAATTCTTCACTTATATTCAAAATATACTCTTAACTTAACTGATCATTCCATCAATCAAAATCACCTCACACCTTTATGTAATGCAATTTGGCTATTCCATACAGGTGTGAGTATAACAAAAAGTTGCCCCCTGGTGGGGTTTTAATGAATTTAATTTACACTTTTAATTGAACTACTGAGGACATTACAATCACAGAGCTGCGCAGTGGAAATAAAGATGTTAAGTGTGGGCCCTGTAATTAAATATCCCAGAAGTCCGATTTATGGACCGTGAGAGGTCTGATATGTTGTCCTCCTTCACACCTTCTTCAGCTTAATTCTAACACTTCTTAAAACTAATAGATGTGTCTATTTGAACACTCCATGAATTAAAATGTGCTGTTCTGATGAAAGATTGTGATATGAATTGATACTCTGTAAAACTGTAAAATTGCAAATAATAATATTGAAATATTGATTGAAAATATTTGTGAAACTGTTTGTTCAGGAAATATTTATCAAAAGTATGACTTCAAGATGTTTATATATACTGGATTCGGTTAAGCCGATTGCTCGTGAATTCACCAATTTGATATTAAATATTATGAACTGAACCTATAAAAATTGTACTGTCAAAATATATTTATAGAATGTAAACATCAATATTCTTTGTGTATACTTTGTATACTTCTTTCAGTTAAGCCATTTACCTCTTTACTTTTCCAGTTTTAATATTAATAATATAAGCTAAAACACAGGATAATGATAAGATGGATTTTTGTAAAAACACTGTATAATGAATCAGAATTGAGCTGTGATACAAATTAAACATAAATAATGCAGTTACATTTTGTGCACAATAATTAACGGTTTGAGAGAGAGTGAGAGAGTTGATTGTAAGCTTTGGTGGTTTGCCACATTTTGAAACTACAAAGTCTCGGGATGACCAAGCCTTGATGATTTTATTTATTTGTTTTGGATCACCAGACTCCCCAAAGATGTTCGTAATTATCAAACTGGCCAGTTTACAATTTAATCAAACAGGGACTATTATGTAGGTTTGTGATCTACATCACTCCTTGCTGATCAGTGCAACGGGGCCAATCGACTGCTGAGTCGATTATTTGATAATTTTTTATTTAGTATTTAATATTTATGAATTTAATGGGAGTCTATCCTCATGACCCTTTATCAACCCTAGCCTTCGACCGAGCACTCTGTTACCCCCATTTACGTTACACAATCAAACTCTCACTATTAAAAAATGTAATACTGTTCAAAAATTATTCTACACATGAAATACAAACGTTTTAAATAATAATACTGATGATGATAGAATCTGACTGTACATAGAATACAAAAATAATAATATCACAGATAAACATTGCTCTTTAAATTAATATACCATTTCAATTCAATTTAATAAACAATTTTCATTTGACTAGGTTCACTATTATAACTTAAATTCTTTGTATGACATGACCAAATTTAATAAAACATTTTATCCTGAATCGTGACCATGTGCTCTAAGTAGACCAAATGAAACATGAAAATCTCAGACCAAACAAAACATGATTCATAACTTGTAAAACGAGTGGTACATGTGAAAAAATGTGGCAGATTGGCAAGACTATTTTAATACTAAAACACAAATAACACAAACATTTACTTACGTACACATGTCGACACATACACATTCATTCCGACGAAGATTCACGCGTACCGAACATTTAAAAACTGACTCGTGGTAATTTTGACTTTTTGTCTGACCGAGCGGAACATCACGACACGGTTTTTTCTGGTGTAGGACTTATTAATTCTTGTTTTTTCGAGCTGGCGTTTAATGATTCAATTGAAAATACCGTCACGACGACCCGCGATTCGCTAGAAATTGACATTTGCTATCGATATGATGCATGTACGAATTTTCATCACGAACGCGAACAATCAATCCGGCATCTCAACTGTCTCGACTTAATACTAATAAAACACACCCCCAAATGCAATTCGGCGAAATTTTGACAATTGCGATCATTTGATGCACGTACAATTTTCGCCCGAACGCAAATTTCCGAGCTACGAATGAAGATATTAATAAATTCGTCCTACACCAGCGACAAAACGCGACTTCACATGTTGACTACGCGATTACTGAGCCACGAGTGACGACGAGACGTTTGCACACGGCACGGCTCCCAACGGTCTTCCAGTTCGTATCCTTCCGCGTTACGTCATGTTGGACTGACTTGTCCATTGCCTGTCGCGGATTTTAAATCTTTTGATTTGAAAATCGGCACAATGTGAAGATTGAATTTCTCTTAAAGGTTTCTCTTGCTGCTTGTTATTGGTAACTGTATGTTCTCTGGCATTATCAAAAGTTTGTATTATTGCCTATTGTGTTGATATTTTAATTTGGTTTAAGTTCATCAAACGTAATATGATAATTAAGCTTGTTTGGAATTATATTTTTATACGTATTCTTGATGTTTTAACACATTTAACAAAATTGGATCTAAAATATAAAAACCATCTATACATTTTAATGAGGATTATGCAACTCGATTCTCTTCAAATTACTATTCCCTTTACTTGTTGTATTAGCTTTGCAGTGCTAACTTAATACTAGATTTTTGTTTTAATTAAACCCTTATTATTACTGTTTTCATAATAAAAAACAGTAAAAATATGTTTTACTACTTGCATTTTGTGTTTCTTGAAGGAATGTATAGTGAACTATATGTTATGCCACATCACTGATTTTCTCTTCTATTTGGACCCTACTGCATCAAAGCTTTTTCATGGCTTTTTGCAACCTTCCAATCAACAGCTTTTGTTTGTTGTGGATAGAATAAAAGGCACTGTATGAAGTAATCTGTGCTTAGAATAGAACTTGGGTTTGCAAAGGTGGTAGTAATGGTTGGCAACTCTTTGGAATAAGATGGAATAATTGCTTTGGTCCTACTACACTTGTGTCTAAAGATTTCTTGAGTGGTGCATTACCACTATCTATGGCAGTTTTGTTGTGTTTATTGCAATTCCTATTTCAACACTAATTCATTTGGATGTTTTTTTTTCTTTCTGGTGTTGAGGAAAGGTTTGACAGGGAAGATGGTTAATATTACATAAAAGCATGTTTTATGTTCAGCATCTTGAACAATATTGATATGTTAAACCTGTTGTCTATAGGTTACTAAACACATCAAGATTCACATTACCAAACGTCATATAATTCATAAAAATGGAAAAACAAACTGTACAGATTTGCTGTTCCTATCAAGTTGATTTTTTCCAGGCAAGTCATCATCTACAATAAATTAAAACCAATGGATACAACCCAGAGTGTAGCATGAAACTTTCTTTTCTTGCTGGAAAGTTATCAGCTTTCATGGGGTTCAGCTAATGTTGACTTGATGCTGCCTCTTTTACATAAATGTCTTTTCAATGCTCGTCATCACTGCCTTTGGTTGTTGCATAACATGTAGACAATTTTGTTGTTGCTTGAATTTTTGTGTACAATGTTGAAAATCTAGTAATCATATTGCACTTTCAAACAGCTTCTTAGCTAGAGAATGTTGAGTTTGTTAAAACAAGTCAAAGCTTGTGAGTACAGAGTTGAACCACAACCTTGCCCTGTTCTACCAGAATGTTTCAGATCATCTAGGAAACCGAGCATTAAGACAGGACCTACAGCCACTATCAATTTACAACTTCCAATGTTGCAAACTAAACTAAGTGCTCATGATAATTACAGAAGCATCCAAAACCCTTGAAGCATCTCACTAAAACCTACCATTAATAATTTTCTGTCTAGGCGGTGATACAGTTAATTTAAAGAATGTTAAATATAAGATTACTTGATTAGGTATGGTTGATAATAAGAATGGAAGTTTTAGCTAAGAAGAATCCTAAAGGCGAATCCAATTACACTAGTAACAATTTTTTTAAGTTTCAGACTAGAGGCCAGTCTTCAACTCTCTAGGATAGGTTCAGCCACATAAGTATACTTCACTTAATAAATTACAGATAAAGAAGTTTTGCCAAGATTTGTAGAGTTACATTGCCACGACCTTGCTTGATTATAACAGGTTAAAAAAATTGCAAGTTTTATACTAGGAACGGTTCCAACAATTCGGCCTATCTCAACAATGTCACCTGACCAACACTGAGAAAGTTAAGCTAAGAACCAGCTCATCAAAGCCAACTGAAATCTAAACTTCTCTAATGTACAGTTGATAAGTTTAAATTTAAGCACTTGATGTAGAACATAAAGTTTAACCACAATCTGTGTGCTGAGACAAATTCCACCAAATTAGTTTTGTCATAAACTTACACTCACCAAAAGCTTCAGCTCATCAATTTTACAAATCTGCTAGAATGTCTATTGCTAAGAACAAGCAAGCACGTTTCAGCTTATCAGGTTAACAAACAGTCTAAACTTTTGAATCGCCAGTCAGACCTCAACATTGTGTGCACCATCATCAAAGTCTATCAAATCATTTTGTGTGGTCTCATATCTTGGTTTCAGCTCATATGTAAAGATTTTCAACAAAACAAGAACACAAGCGTTCCAGAATCCAACATATCAAGCTTAACCTTCAATATTCATTTTAAACCAGTTCATGTCATGGTGTTCAACCATGACTCAACCTTACTTGTTTACAGAGGTTCAACCAGAATGCCACAAATGTTTCCAAGTCACCATCTAGTTTCTCGTTCAATCATCCAACAACAGCCAAGATGTTTCTTATTAATTTTACCTCTCTTAAGTTTTAGATTATGATTTCCAGCATCTAAGCCCAATGATAAAAAGTATGTGTTAAATTTCACAAGATGCAACTTAAATTCGTCCATAATCTCAAATGAACACTGTTTTAAGACTACCTGCATGGGAAAAAGAGAAATCATCACATGCTCATCAAATGTAAATGAACGTCAATGTAAAAAGGCAACATAGTGTAAATATTTCACTTACCAGAATTTTCCAATTTTTCTGTTTTAGGCAAATATTATCACATTATACTACCTTTGTTTCAAGGGAGTTGAAGCTGATGTTTGCTGGCATATTCACTGTAAAACATTAAATGTCAAGTTTATCTTAGGACCGAGACCACTTTAGATTCAGTTTTCTATCACAGGTTTAGTATTTCAGGAAAAAAAAAACTATTTATATAACACGCTTAATATACACACACTTTATTGTAGATGCTTAATATAAAGTCTTATTTCACCAAAAACTTGGTTTCAGATATTTGCTTTAAAAAAACTAAAGAAGCACTTTGGTATATTTATGTGTTCAACTTGTGAGCTTGTACTTTAGTACCTAAATAATAAACAAGTTGTGTCTTGTATTACTGCAATGATAGGTAGCATTAATTTAAAGGTTTATCCTAGCAGAGGTGCTTAGTTGTGTGCATATGGACATTGGTTTAAGTTTTTTAAGAATGTGTGTGTATCTTATATGCATCTTGTGTCCTTTATCACTGCCTATTTGAATGTCTTGGGGAGAATATTAATACACTATATTTGGTTGAAAATAGTACTTCACATAAAACTGTTGATTTGTTGTTTATGCTCTATTTAATACATTTCCATGCATACTTCTGTGCAGATATGGCATATCTCTATCACACTATCACCCTTAGTTGCCTTCCATATTATTTGTTGTTTGCTAGAAGATTTAATGTCGGATTTCTATGTACAGAGAGATATTTGTTTTAAAGTGTTATTGTTTTGTCCTCTGTTTTGTTTCTAATACCAATAGAAGTATTTTACTTGTTTGGAAGCTATAAATTTACATTTAAATGTTTATATAATATAAATATAGAGTTGTGTTGGTGTGGCAACACTTCAAAGTAGTAATCTATTTGCAACATGATTAGCAAATTGTGTGTATATAGCTTCTTTTGCTTGTGTTACGTACTAGTGTGGCTGCAGGATTTATCACTACATACTTTTTTATCCAAAAGTTTTTGCCAAAATTTGAAGCGTAATTTTACTCTCTTGGGATCCTTTTGCTTGGTTTTAATGTCAGATTAGTTATGACGTCTCATGTTGTTATGACAGTTGGTAGTGTTAATTTTCCCATATAACTAAGCAACTTAGAAGGGTGCAAGCAAAGATTAACTGAACATGAAAGAACCAAGCACGGCCTATTTAGAAATGTTGTAGGCAGTGTTAAGAGTTAACAACAGTTTGTTGTCTTGTCTGATTCTCTGGTTGCCTGCATACAATAAGATATAGGTATACTTGTTCTGCATGAGTTGGTGGCTTGAATAAATTTTCATTCAACAATTTTCTTTAACCAATTTTGATTGTAAAATGTACTGAAGTATTTGGATCTAATTTGTTTCTCTAATTTATGTTCTCCCTCAAGCTTAACTCTGCTCAACCACAACAGATATGGTAGTTACTACACTGTAAGGTGTTTTTTTTTAGGCTTTACTTAACTGTTTCTATTTTTTTTATTAAAATTTGTTTTTGTTAAGCTGTAACAAAATTTTACTGATTTATGTAAATTGAAAATAAAATTATAATTAAGGCCAAATAAAAAAGTTTTATTTAAACAACTAAAAAGAGATATTTAAATAATAAATTTAAAACAAAAAAAGTAAGGGTAAAAAGAAAAAAGACAAGAAATACAAAAAAGGACAAAATAAAAACATTCTAAGCAATAAAACAAGTAAAAACTAGACAAAGCAAATATACATAAAAAATGATATTATAGGCTAGTAGTTTTGAATAATTTTACCTAGCAGTTTAAAATTAATTGCTTTCAGTTGAATGTGTCCGCTTAAACAATGCCTCAGCATGTAATCAAATCTTAGACGGTTCCACGACAAGGCTGACTTTGGTGGTTCCACAATGGGGCGGACTTGGGCGGTTCCATGACGAGGTGGACATTTGCTGTTCCACAACAGGGTGTATTTTTGCTGTTCCACGACTGCCATATTTGGCAGTTCCACATCGAGACAGTTCTCAGCTAGTGGTTCCACAACGATGCGGTCATCGGTGGTTCCACTAAGAGACGTTCTTGGGTGGTTTTACGACAAGGCGTTCTTCGTTGGTTCTACGACGGGGCGGACTTTGACGGTTCCATTTGGTGATTCGGCGGCAGTTCCACGGCTTCCCGGGCATCGTCGGTTTGGGGTCAGAGCATTCATCAGCGGTTCCTTGGCGTGGCGTTCTTCGGCAATCTCACAGTGGAGCAGTTTCAGGCTTGATGGTGGGTCAGTCTTCAATTTTAGCAGTTTTTCATATGTGACCGTTTACATATTATATTAACTAATTATGTCATCCAGCAATCTTTTTTGGTAATACTTTTTTAACTCAACTAAATAATCAAAGGTTCTCTGAATCAAAATTACCATGGTTTGATAATTTGATAATAATCTTAAAGATATTTTTTCTCAAGTTGAAGATCATATAGTTTTACTTTTTTTTGCATTAATAATAATATTAAATAAGTATAGATTCAATGGTTATGGTGGCTTTTATAAATATAAGTAATGATGTATAAAATTGTTAGGGTCTAACATAACATTTCTAATGTCGATTTTTTTTCTCTTAACCTTGAATACCTGAATAACATTGATAAAATGGCTTGAATAGTATATGAAATAAAATGTGTGCTCTTAATTCAGACACACGTTTTTCTAACAGATGGTACAATCATTACTTTTGCACCTAGTATATTTTATTCAAGATTTGTTAATTGGATGATTTTTACAGATTCGCGCCAGAGAAGGAGACTCGTAAAGCAATTCCGCAACAGTCAGTCCTCAATGATTCCAAAGCGGCTGGGCTTCAACAGAGAGCGGTCTTCAGTATCTTAACATCGGGCAGGATATGGCGGCTCACAGCGAGCTGTATTTCGGGGTTTCATTACTAGGCGGACTTCGGCAGTTCCACGGCGAGATGGTCATAAGTGGTACCACGGCGGAGCGGTCTTCGGCCGGTTCCTCGGCGTGGCGGACTCCTGTGGCTCCACAGCGTGGTACACTCCGATGGCTCCAGCTCTACGGCGTGACGGACTCTGGCGGCTCCACGGCGTGGCGGAGTCCGGCGGCTCTACGGCGTGGTGGACTTCGGCGGCTCTTCGGCGTGGCGGACTCCGGCGGCTCTATGGCGTGGTGGACTTCGGCGGCTCTTTGGCGTGTTGGACTTCGGCGGCTCTTCGGCGTGGCAGACTCCGGCGGCTCTTCGGCGTGGCGGACTCCGGCGGCTCTTCGGCGTGGCGGACTCCGGCAGCTCTTCGGCGTGGCGGACTCCGGCGGATCTTCGGCCCGGCGGATCTTCGGCGTGGCGGTCTCCGGCAGCTCTTCGGCGTGGCGGACTCCGGCGGATCTTCGGCGTGGCGGTCTCCGGCGGCTCCACGGCGTGGTGGACTTCGGCGGCTACACAGCGAGGCGGACTCTGGTAGCTCTACGGCGTGACGGACTCCGGCGGCTCTTCGGTGTGGCGGACTCCGGCGGATCTTCGGCGTGGCGGACTCCGGCGGATCTTCGGTGTGGTGGTCTCCGGCGGCTCCACGGCGTGGTGGACTCCGGCGGCTACACAGCGAGGCGGACTGGTAGCTCTACGGCGTGACGGACTCTGGCGGCTCCACGACGTGGTGGACTCCGGCGGCTCTACGGCGTGGTGGACTTCGGCGGCTCTTCAGCGTGGCGGTCTCAGGCGGCTCTACGGTGTGGCGGGCTCCGGCGGCTCAACTGCGTGGCGGGCTCCGGCGGCTCCACTGCGAGATGGCTTAGGCAGTTCCACGGCGGAGCAGTTTCAAGGCTTGAGGTGGGTAGGTAAACAACTATTCACGTCATACTGCCATCCTTTTTAGGTGATACTTTTTTAAACTACTTTTTACTAAAAGGTTCTCTAAATCAGAATGATCAAGGTTTGATAATAATCTATCAAGTTTTTTTTAAGTTTTGAGGATAGAAGTAATGCCGTATACAATTATCAAATATAGTCTAAGGTATTTTTTTCTTAGCCTAGCATAACTGAATAACATTGATACAATTAGGCCCACAATTAGGCCGTGATGTGCTGTGCTGTGGGCCAAAGAGGTAGTTGCGCCCTCCCCCATACCCCTCAACATTGATTTGATTCATATAATGAAAACAGGCATTTTACGAGTGCACACGCATCTGTAATATTACAACAATAAGGCTCGTTATATTGTGTTTAATTTTGATTGTTAACACGTTGCCTACCAGCCGTCACACACAAGCTGTATGACAGGTGTTGTGAGACGTGATAGTGAAGGGGTTAATAAAATTAGACGCATAGTAAAGTGTAACATTTAAAAGAACAAGATAAAATCTAGTGCATTCAATTTAATCTCCATTTCAATCACAACTGAATTATTGTTATATAAACAAACTTGACAATCAGAACAAAACAAAATTCTTTAACACGTTGACTGCGCGCGCCGACTTTACAGGCGCTCCCCAGTGGCGGGCGAAGCCCCGGCGCGCAACCGAATTAGCGAACGCAATTGGCATTCAAATATTTCAGTCTGACGAATCACAAAAGAGCAGTGGTGACTGTGCTGCGTTACGCCGAGAGTGGATGTAGTTCACTGAAACACCCAAAGGTAGCAGCACTGCATGGATCCGTATCCAGTGTCTTTGTAATGTGGGTTGAAGAGAAAAAATCCCCGAAACCGGGACAAAAGCATTGCCAGACAGGATTTTACGGGAAGTTTAAGTACCAACCTACACCAAAGTAAAGCTCGCATTCTAAGCTGGCAGGCTGGCAACGATTATAACGTCTCCGTCTGAGGCTAAGCTCACACTGACTCAATGTATTTCTGTTGGTCTGGTGCCGACTTTAGTCGGCGCGCGCCACCTGGGAGCGCTGGCGACGCCGACTAAAGTCGGCACGCGCAGTCAACGTGTTAACGTCTGAAATGTAACAACATCATGAAATCAAATGCTGCTTCTTGCACAATGTATCAATTATCAATTATTTAAGATGGGGACGCCACTATGTGCGTATTTTAACCCAAATATGAGTGAAGGATGAGTGTAGGATGAGTGGCGCGATCTTGTAGTCTTGTTAGTGACTAAGGCCGACATGTTCCTTAGACACAGCTGTTAATTAATAGCCCATACAGCTAATGGCAACTAAGGGACCTACAGTTTATAGTGGAATCCGAACCACATTTTTCCTTGTAATTTACGAATTGGTCTAATTATCAGGATAGTACTGCGGATAGTCGTAGTACTCACTAGTGCGGACGTTAATCCACACCAGTGAGCATCGCATCCACAGTGCATCCCTATAAATATCCACAATTCGTGACCTCCTAGTAGCTGGATTACAGGACGACGCCACCCGTCCCAGTTTACTTATATGTATATATATATATGTACATATGTATATATATGTACAGTTTATATATGTATATAAACATATATTATATAAAGTAAAAACTTAATCTATAAAACAAATATTGATTAAGTTTAACTACACATTTATATTTCCAAGGGAGCATTTTTACAAATAAAATGAGTTTAGTTGTAAAATGTTTGTATTACAAAAAAAAAATTATTTGAGAAGTTATTTGCAAACATTTAAAACTCTAAGGAAGCAGTCAACACCTTAAATTACTGGTTTTTCCTACATTCGGTTCGGTAAACTCATCATCTAAGTTCATTTTTAGGGTTACGTCACTTTCTTTGCACATGTGATCATTAGGCCTTAATGGTTTTAATGATACTGTAAGCTACTTATTTATTTATTAAAATACACCACATAACACATAAGGAGTGCTTCTGCACGCAGGCAGGTAAATTGTCATTGTGCCATAATATACATTGTGTACTTACTAGAATAGAATAAAAGCAACAAGTCTCAAATAAGTTACGTTATTAGAAAAATTTGCAAGTACAGTAGAACCTCTTTAATCCGAACTAATTGGGACCAGGGGTAGTTCGGACTAGTGAATAGTTCGGATTACAGAACATATTGGTGTTTTTACATAACAATAGCTAAAACATGGCTAAAATTGATCTAAATTATTTTGGGAAAAGTGGAAAAAATGTTTTATAAATTAAAATACAGTGTTTATTTATTACATTAGTAAACATGGTGAATAAACAGTACTGTACATTAAATACAGTATACATTAAAGAACTGCTGTACTGTGTATAGAGTACAGCAATGAGGGGTTCGGATTAGTGGACGTTCGGATTACGGGGGTTCGGATTAAAGAGGTTCTACTGTAAGTTATACCAATTCTAATAAGTTATGTCTACTACAATCAGACTGATAAAAATGGACGCGTTGCAGAAAGTCAACAGTCCCGGAAGGTCAAATAATTTATACCTGTGCCGCTAGGTCAAAAACTACAATGTTTGCAGTGTCTGTAGATCAAAAATCCCAGTAAGTCAAATAGTACAGTCCGGGCTAAAAACGTAGTCTATGTTAAAGCAATTGACTTATTGGAAATTTGACCTAATGCAACAGCAGTTTTAATATAACGAAATAAGATAAAATATAAGTTCAGTTTCGCTGAGTCAACAGTGCCGGAAGGTCAAAAGTATAATCTGTTAAAAACAGCGATAGTCCTCTCGACGCATGACTTCAATAATTTCGTGTTTTGGTGTACTTAAAGTTGTGCTAACATTTTGAAAATTGGCACAGAGCTTCTTGGTTAGTCCTACTCGATGACAGTTTTGTTGGAACTTTAATTATTTACCGATCTAATTAATAAAAATTCATATGTATGGTGAAATATTTTTAAATCGTGATTTCTAACATGAAAAAGTTAGCATGCGAGATTTTTTTTTTGGGGGGTTAGAGATGTTTTGTCTGTGGCAAAGTTGTAGCTAAAAGTGCGTTGCGTAAAATATTTTTTTTTTTAATTTTTTACAATAAGTGGTTCAATAGATAACTTGGGTTGAAGAGGACGGCAAATTTAGCATTTCGCAACGCATGGAAAGAACTACATCGTACGATGCGACTGCTGAGTGGACTTTTAATTTACAGTTCTAAGGACAAGAAAAAGATGAATATACAGATTACCAGTACATTCATATTATATATAAAACATCTTTCTGTATTACCAGCTTACATTTTTCACTTATATTAATAAGAATACATCATAAACAGGGTGTTAAAAATAAGCGGAGAGATACTTTACCTAGTTAGTTATTCCTTGGGTCAAAATAAACAGAAAATGAAGGATAACATTTTTTTCCAAAATCGTTTCGTTAACCAGATATCCGCCATTTTGTATTTTTTACATACCGTACAAATATTTATCTTTACACTTTTTCAACCGATGATTATGAAACTTGGTATGTATGTTAAGGTAGGAGAGACCCATGTTATAAAAAAAAATTCATCTCGATTCACCCTAAAATTTCTACATTTAACACTTAACTACAATATAATATACTTTTCTACACCACAATATTTACGTATCACCATAAATCTTTAATAAAATAAAACGTTTACATTTTTAAAATTCAAAGTAAATCAATATAATCTTTCTTTTTTTGAAAAATATATAGTAAAAAAAATAAGGCGATGTTAAAATAACGACAGGCGAGTTCCGATCTGGGTGTTTCAGGTTTGAACCTAGGAGGATTTAACATTAATTAACATTAATGTTTAATCCTCCTAGGTTTGAACTAATTGAGAGGAATACATGAAACCGAAGGGGAGAGGTAGCAAAAAGTGCACTAGTACTTACTAGTGTCCAATTACAATTTGATGGATTTAACCAAAACCTATATTTCACTTATTTTCAGCTGTTAATTTTCAAACGATACGTTTTAGCTACATTATTATCATCATCATCGTTTGAGTTTGGGTTTGCGGCAATGTATTTTTATGTATAAACCCTTTAATTTGATACCTACCAAACTTGACCTCTGCTGCTATTAATTGACTGTATGGACTATTAATTAACAGCCGTGTCTAAGGATTACGTCGGCCTTAGACACTAACAGGACAACAAGATCGCTCCACTCATCACACACTCATCTCCATTCATACTTGGCTTAAAATGCATACATTTGTATGGTCGCCATTTCAAAAACAGGTAAAATAGTATTACAATTAATTATATCAGAATTTTGTCTTAGTCTTTGTGGTCCATCCCTCTTAAGGGATAAAAAAGTGATAATAACTTTTCAACCATACTGTATAACGCCAACACGAAATTTTTCCGTTGAACTCCTCCGCATTTCTTAGGCGATTTTGACCATTCATGTCTCATTAGAGAGAGCGTGTCACGTAAATTTGCAAACCAACCTTACATTTTTAAATCCCTTGGGCTCAGCCCCAGCGGCTCATGTTATGAACCTATGTTATGCCTATGAAGAACATATTGATTTATTTATATTAGGATCAGCCCAATTAATTGCTGTTATGCAATTCAAGGAAATAATGTAGGCTACATTATTAACATGTTACTGATTTTTTTGAAATACTATATTTACTATTTCAATTTGGGTTTGCTGGATAATTTAATCCATTTTACCAAACAATAAAAATTAATGGACAAAGTACTATATTTCATGAGCAATCATTGAAAGGACCGATTGAAGTCCTCGTCAACCAAAAGAATGCCTACTAAAGCAAATAAAATTGAGGCGAACATGTAATGCACAAAATCAGATGGTTCTTAAGTATGTGAAAAAATGTATCGCTATTCAAAAACAGACGGAAAACTTGTAAACATATTCGTGACAATGGGTGTAACCATGTAACATGGCTACAATCAATGACAAACGTGGACAACCTTATACGAGTGTAAGTCCGAAAACAACTCTAAAAAACAATAAGCAATAAATTGCAAGAACCGTTGCGCCGTTGCTTATATCATTGGGTATACACGTATCCACTGACGTGTATACTCAATGCTTATATCGAACTGTTATATGTACATCGTGAGTTGTTCCATTAGTTGTTCCATTTAGTTGTGTGTCCATTAGTATAATATTTTAGTTGACTCTTTTAAAGTCGGCGGAAATTGTGACTGTTATTACCCTTGAAATAATGTTTGTGTAGTACTTTGCAATCCTACCAATGCTTATAGGATCATACGATTACAATTTTCTGGCTAGAATATGTCGCATAGAGTGGTGACTACTGTATCTTTTTGGTTTGCTTGTAAAACAGGATCAACAAAGATTTTCCATCAACTTAAACAATACGATACTCCCAAATTGTTCATTGCAATAACAAAATATCACACAGTTTGATGAATATTTGTGTGTAAACCACATACAGTACACCTGTATTCTATCTATTTTACCTTTTATTTTTCAAAGACTTTATAGAAAATCACGCATTATGTGATCGGCGAAGAAAGGCTGTATCCCATGTGTTTTATAGGTAAAGAAGACAAGGGCGGTCCTAGACATATATTTTGGGGGGGTCACCGGGGGCCTGGGGGGTATGGAATACCCCCCAAAAAGGAGGGGGGTCCTGGGGTTCCCCCCGGGAAAAATATATAAATAAATAAATATAGGCTATACAGGGTGATCAACTCAAGGAGGCCACCATTGGGATATCTGAAACGGTAAGAATTAGAGAAAACTCAAAATGGAAGACATTCCTTTATTTTTTGTGGCAGTTAAAAATATGATTTTAATTTTTTGAAATTCAGCCACCATTTTCCAAAATGGCGGCCAAATTTGAAATTTCTTATCGAACCCTATATTTTATCATGTTTTCGGATAGAATAGGCAATTTAAAAACTTTTTTATCCTTGAAATTTTTTCGATAAACCCACTCGTCTAGGAGTTACCGCCTATGGAAAAATGACTTCCGGTGTACATATTACATCATGTAGCTCCTAAACAAGTAAGTTTATAGCAAAAATGCGAAGAGTAAAAAAGTCTTACAATTGCATCCACATTCCAAAAAGACCATAAAATTCATAAAAATATTAATTATATTATTTAAGAAATGGCAGCAAACTTGAAAAGTGGAAAACTTTTTATTTTATAGTCTTTAAGGAATGTAGATGCAATTCTAAGACTAATTTACTTTTTGCAATTTTGCTCTAAACTTGCTCGTTTAGGAGCTACATGATGTAAAATGTACACCGGAAGTCATTTTCCCATAGGCTGTACTCCTAAACGAGTGGGTTTATCGAAAAGGGTCAAGGCTAAAAAAGTTTTGAAATTGCATATTCTATCCGAAAACATGATAAAAAAACTAAAATCATATTTTTAACTGACACAAAAAATAAAGGAATGTCCCCCATTTAATGTTTTCTCTAATTCTTACCGTTTCCGATTTCCCAATGGTGGCCTCCTTGAGTTGATCACCCTGTATATGAATTTGAACGGATGATGTTTTTGGCCTCTAGGGAGCTCTAAACGAAAAATTAAATCGGTCCCGGGTCCAGGTGTTACCATAAGTACTACGGTAATAGCTTATTCCCTATATGGGAAATTCTCCAAAAACCTAATAGTTATACATAGAACAATATTACATTCAACCAGCTGTTAGTTAAAACAAATTATATGGGACTAAACCAAATCGATGATTACAAAGACTCCTTTAAAAAATAATTTGAACATCCTACTATTTTACTATGCATATTTAATTAATCTGCCATCCTCATACCTAAGAATTGAATGTATCAATGGTCAGCATTACACATAGTATAAATAAGTCAACCCTAAATATATCTTTAAATTTGTTTCCAAATGCTGAATTTGTGTCACAGATGCTGAATGTTTACAGCTGTTATGTTAAGCAAATTATAATATATTGTACTAAAAGCTGGCTTAGAAGGTTAGCGTCGGCTGCTAGACTTTTTAAAAATAAAACTTAATTTCTAAAAAACTGGGACCCTTAATTATAATTATGGCTTTGACATTCCCTAGTTCTCAAAATTATCTTTCTTTCAACACAAAACTAATGAAAATCCATCGTCTGGTTGATTCAGAATCGTGAAAACCCCCCATTTACGTTTTAATAATATATATGATAGTTTGGACAGGTTTCAACCCTTCCGAGGCGTAATACATTTACACAGTTTATATGTAGACTACATTATAACTCATAAAATAGTTCTACAATTAAATGGATCTCCTTTTATAAACGTATATAATAACCAGAAATTTTCAGATCGTCCTTGCGTGTATTTTATGCCACAAATTTTGACGAAAGGCTTTTCATTACATAAACTATACCTATTTACAGTGTTGACCAAACAGTTGGCAAGAAGCATTAATAGATAAGCTATGTACCAAATATGATAATTTTAGCTCTATTCTAATTATGACAAAACACGAAGTAACTAAAAGCGAGTTTTGTTGGTGTAGTAAGCGTTGCAGGAGGTCTACTTTACACTGAATCGACGTTCACTTTTATTGCTTTTGATCTTCCGGCACTGTTGACTCAGCGAAACTGAACTTGTATTTTACCGTATTTCGTTATATTAAAACTGCTGTTGCATTAGGTCAAATTCCCAATAAGTCAATTGCTTTAACATAGACCACGTTTTTAGCTCGGACTGTACTATTTGACTTACTGGGACTTTTGATCTACAGACACTGCAAACATTGTAGTTTTTGACCTAGCGGCACAGGTATAAATTATTTGATCTTCCGGGACTGTTGACTTTCAGCAACATTCCCATAAAAATCCCTGAATGCTGTAAAAACTATTGTCTAACAGGTAAGACAGTAAGTGTAACAGGAACTTTTTTAAATGATTCCAATTCTTTCAGTGATAAAGGAAGCTTATTATATAGTTTGAGACCCATATAAAAAGTACTCTTTTCATAAGTAGCAGATTTATGTATGGGGTATTGCAACACAGAGCTCCTGGGCCTAAAGCTGTATTGGGAGTTAGTTCTTTTTTCTTAAAAAATAGAAAAATGTTTTTTGACAAAGATTTAAGTGTTAAATATATAAAAAGAGGGCATAGGTAAAATCTTCATTCTTTTAAACAACGTTGTACAAGATGTTCTGTTTTAGGAACCGTTTGCAACGCTTTTTCACTGTCCAAAAGTTTTTTGCCGCCCTCTTCTAGCTAAAAAAATCTCTGCTAGCAGGAGTCCATTTGTCTCTGTGTGTCCCGGCCTTAAAATTTAGAATTTAAAATTTCAAAAATTATAGGACAGGGGAATCCTGATTTATGCATAAATTCTATAAAAATCATTTAATGTTAAGAGAAGCGCCCATTTTAGTGAATTTCTCTATAGGGAAGTTGCTATTAGTTCCACAGCGGGGCTAAGACCTAAACCCACGACCAATTAATTTCCATGTTGGTGTCCCTAGAAGCCAAAAACATTAATTGTTCAAATTTGTTTATATGTATAGTTAGGTTGTTCAGCTTCAACTAGGACAAACTTCAAAACAAGCTAAATATGCAATACAACATGTGTCCTATTTCAAACCGATAAGTATCTGTCTGCATGCATCTTATACAAAAATGTTCATAACTCATTAACGGTTTGAGCCACAGCGTTCAAATGGATTTCAAATTCCATGAAAACCGTAAATTTCACACAAAAACTGCAGGTTACATGAAATTTAGTGAATTTTATATAGATTTCAAGCTTAGTTTGAACACAGAATAACTCAATAAAAAATAATGAAATCTTGACTTGCTTTACCTATAGTTTTTTCAATTTTAACAATGTTAATTTGGATTAATAGTAATTTTAAATCTATTACTAAACAATATATATGGTTCCAGGGCGGCATGGACTTCGGTGGTTCCAAGACTGGGCGGCGGTGTCGACTTCGACGGTTCCAGGGCTGGGCGGCGTGGATATTGGCGGTTCCAGGGCGGGTACAAAAATCGATGCGGCATGGACTTCGGTGGTTCCAAGACTGGGCGGCGGTGTAGACTTCGGCGGTTCCAAGACTGGGCGGCGGTGTTGACTTCGGCGGTTCCAAGACTGGGCGGCGGTGTTGACTTCGGCGGTTCCAAGACTGGGCGGCGGTGTTGACTTCGGCAGTTCCAAGACTGGGCGGCGGTGTTGACTTCGGCGGTTCCAGGGATGGGTGGCGTGGACTTCTTCGGTTCCAGGGCTGGCCGGCGGTGTTGACTTCGGCGGTTCCAAGACCGGGCGGCGGTGTTGACTTCGGCGGTTCCAGGGATGGGTGGCGTGGACTTCTTCGGATCCAGGGCTGGCCGGCGGTGAGACTTCGGGGGTTCCAGGGCTGGGTGGCGTGGACTTCTTCGGTTCCAGGGCTGGGCGGCGTGGACTTCTTCGGTTCCAGGGCTGGCCGGCGGTGTTGACTTCGGCGGTTCCAGGGCTGGGTGGCGTGGACTTCTTCGGTTCCAGGGATGGGCGGCGTGAACTTCTTCGGTTTGAGGGCTGGGCGGCTTGGACTTCTTCGGTTCCAGGGCTGGGCGGCTTGGACTTCTTCGGTTTCAGGGCTGGGCGGGTGTGGACAGGGTGAATCCACGACGGATGATCGATGTTTCAGAGCCCGTCTTTTTTGTGATTGTAAGTATGATTCGTTATTTAATTTCAAAGTATAATATAAGCTAATACATGTTATCCAAGCAGAGGCGGATCCAGGGCACAGGGCCCCCCCCAGACAACCTGACTTCACACTAAATAAAATGAATTTTTACAAGAAAATGTTTTTATATTAGTTTTAAACGTCTTCATCATAACGCCTGCATAATCTTTGGACAAACGTAGTTTCACACAACTCCACCGAGAGCAGGACAGCAGGAGCAGCTCAGTCTCACTGGACTTTTAACAGATTTTTTATAGTCTTTTGGCAGCTTGAAAGAACATTACCATAGCCTCGAGTTGCTGTACAACAAAGGTAAATAAAATATGGTGTTTTTTTTACATTTACAATGAGATTCCTAGATAATGGAAGCTATAATAATTTAAATTAGGTACCAGTACAGAAAAATCTTTGCTCTAAAGTAAATACACTAAAACATGAGTTTTAATGTTAAAATTTGAAAATTTTTCTTAACCCCCCTTTTCACTGGGGGGTCTTCCATACCTCCCAGACCCGCCAGTTGTGCCCCTCCCAACATAAATTCTGGATCCGCCCCTGTATCCAAGTATATTTCAACACAAACTACAATACCATCATTGACTATTAATAGTCAAAGGTACCATGTATACCATCACATGGTATACCTATCAATTCTGACTTCATCTGTTGTTTTTGTTAAGTTACTATCTGAATGTGTACAAACATATTTTCGGTATTACATTTTGAAATTGATTATTATATTTTAAATAAGTAAGGCTTGTACAAAATGACGTTTTTCTTGGTTTTTTGGCAATATTTGCAGCCGATGCGCGACCGGATGATATTAACATACAATACTATTATTTAAATATCAATTTCTTAGTATCTTGTAGATTGTTAGCGTCTGTTCATATGCCTTATTTAAAGTCATGGCAAAGGTAACTTTAAAGTAAAATCTTTTCTTAGTCAGTTTGAAAGAATAACGGACTATTGCGTAGCATGACAGTTTGACCGGAGTCAGCCAACTCCGCTTTAATAGCACCCCAAGTGAGCTAAAGTCAATCTTGGACTATGCTTAGGTTTCCCAACAACGAGTTCTTTTTAGCATGGGTTTATGAGCTAACGAACATAAAGGCTTAATGAGTTAAAGAAAACTCTAATGGATATGTCCCTTGGTAAAGAACCATAAACTGTTTCCTGTCCTCGTTTGACTTCATAAGTATTAATAAAATTATTGATTGGTTAAGTTAAGCTAAAATAAACAAAACAGGATACAGTAATACAAACAAATAAGTACAGCTGAGGTATTTTTAACATTAGGTATATGGAAAGTTCCCTTTAGAAAGGAATTACGACCTTAAAGGGCAATTTATGAAATAATGGATAGTTTTGCGCAAGGTTTCTCGTCATGGTGAACATTTAAAGTATATGGTTTATGGGGGTGTGACTTGTAGTTTTCTCAAAAGTTCATGGGTACTTTGGCCTTATATATAGATATCGTTTTTTACCAAAAAAATACTGAAAAATGAGTGGTTTATACCTTTCTAGCGTAGTGGGTAAAAAAGCTTTAATAACCCCTAATTTATTTATGAAAATTGGTGAAGAATTAAGGAAGTTATGATGTACAAAAAAAGTAGGTACTTAAGAAATTATTATATTTATATAGATTGTCACACTGAATATTTATTTTTTTAAATCTAATCATGCCTGAAAATATGTTAGCTGTGTGTTGGATAAAACAACACCAAAATCACTATAAAATTTATTTAATTTTAGCTTTAGGAAGCCTAAACAAAAATTCAAACCCCAAACACTACTTTCCTAAAATAATTTTTCATTCTTTGTTTATCAATACTCGATTATCAACTATTATTTTGTTCAATTATTTTAATGATATTGCCAAACAACTTGGTTGATTCTAATGAAGCTAACTGTATGTCTGTCTAAAAATTAAAATAACAGTGATATAAAAATTTTCCACAAAATAATTGCTAGATTTTACTGATACTGTCCCAAAACTGTGATTTTACTGTTACTAAAGCTTCATATAAAATCAATTAATGGTTTTTGAATATTCAGTATTTTTTAAAGATGTTTTATAACATATTACATTCCATTTATTATTTTACCAACCATTTAAATTAATTCCTGCAACATGTAAATAATAATTTTAGCACATAATTGATCTATAAGTGGACTGTTTTGTTTCAGGATCTGTCAGCAAGAGACTACAGTCAGTCTTCTATTCTCAGCCATTCCAGGATGAGTTTGTACGGTTTCTCATCTCTTTCAGGCAAATGCCGGAATGGTTCCCCAAAGGGCCGTACCCCGCCAGGAAAGATGGAAGATAGGATAATGTCCTAATCATTCCTGGTTTTAGCATTCCCTTTAAACTGTAATTCATAATTCTTTCAATCTTAGTATAATATTGCAATTAAATAAATAGAATTTTGGTGTATAAGGTGTTTTAATAAAAACCTCTTCCTTAATAGATTACTTGTAGATATTAATAAGCTTAGCAGTTAGGCCGTGTTTACATGAGGACAGTTGGTGGGCAGATTTCTTGCCTCAGGTAACTTGAAATACATTAGAGGCAAGTAACCTGCCTGCTCTACTGGCCTCATGTAAACGCGGCTTAAGAGAAATCTCTATTCTCTTTCATTTTCTAGAATATGATTAAAATACTCTTGTTATAATATAAACCAACCATTCAAGTGAATAGTGAGTGACATCAAGAAACCAGTGGTAACCAATTGTTGTGAGTTACCAAAATTTAACAGATGTGAGTTAAATTTCACATCAAGATTTTACTTTCTTTGTAATCCATGTAGAAGAAAGATGTCTAATTTGAAAAATATTGAAATTTTAACTTGTGATTCAAACTTAAAAGTATTGCTGCAGCTGTGTGCAGTATTTGAACACCAATATTTGCCACAGTTACTTATTATCATACAAGCATCAAGAAATATATCTATTTGTGGTGAAGACAACCATAAACTTTTGGGTGAGATCCAACTGAACTTTATCTAGGCCTACCTTGTTAAAATACATTCCAAGAATTTCCTTTGACTTTTGCCAATTTGAACTTGAACCAAATTAATATTATATTATTTTATTAGACTATTCCAAATCCTAACTTAAATCTTTCAAAAAGTGTCTAATTGAACTTTAATTTGTGATGAACATTAGGCCTATGCCTATAAAAAATCACAGTCTGCTTTTAGCCTGCACGATACCCCTAGTACCCAGAGATATAGAGAGTTTCACCATACAATGTATAATAACCCTATTTATAAATTTTGATCAATACATGGTATATGTTTATTATTGTAAACTCTGGACGTTTATTTATTTACCACATCTACTTAGTAAACTTTGCATTGGTCAACAAGTAAACTCAGTACTAAAAATGTAGGCTGTGTATGTGTTTGACCTAATGGGATTTTGACCTAGTGAACCGGTCCTACGAATAACGAAGAACAAATATTTGATCAAACAATCTATTTGGATGTGTTGCTGAAAGTCAACGGTACCAGAAGGTCAAAAATTAGGAATAGTGTATTCAAAAAGCCAGCGGGCATATCTTCTCATATGCTTCTTATTATGTGCAGCCACAATCGAGGACCACAGCACACCCCCTATAGTAGAGGACCAGTAAAAATAATATTTATGTTTTCTTATCTTTGCTTGAAACCAAATGCTGAATCATGCTTGAACCTCTAGCACATAGGAGAAGCAAAGAAACAAAACACTTCAAGCAAATCGTTGTGCAACATTTTGCTTCAGGTGAAATGCTGGATCAGTGTGCGCCCAGCCTAAGCAGTTCTGGTTGTTTACATTGAAATGTCAACGCAAAGGCAAACAAAGATTGTGAATGTTCTCATGCTTCCATGGAGACCAATATTATTTTTGAAAACCTCACCTCATAACTTACATCCAAGGGACGTGGCCCAAGAGGAACTCAGGGAAGTGAATAGGCCTATGACATTCCTTGATTGTGGACCATCTTTGTGCCTAATTTTGGCTCTATTTTCTAGTATTTTAGATGTGGCAGCCACACAGACACCACCTCAATTTTATAATAGTATAGATAGATTATATTGCAGCTGCTGGACTTTTTATGGGTGAAATAAAATACAAATCATACAAAGAAAACCAAATATATATTTATATATATATATATATTTTTTAATCTAACGGGTTCTTCTCCTTTTGAAAGCTGAAACAGAGTTAAGAGAAATATTATAAGCGTAAAAAACTAGCTTCAAATAAAAATCCAGTTGATTATTTTACCACTAAATTACCCTGAAACCAAAAGTAAATTTCCCTTTGCCAGTGGCTAATATAGAGAGATGAGAAAATTATATGTCTATACAGCCAAAATAGTTTTAATTGTTTTTTAGTTTTAAATTGATAACTTAAATTAAAATTAAAGCACACCTTTTAAACAATGGTATAAAGTATATACATAACAAGAAGAATTATTATACATGTAAATATTTAATTTAGAAGGCAAAGCAAATGCAGCCAATAATAAGACCGTGACACATCTTGTCCCAACTACGAATTATTGGCGTCAGTTGAGTTTTGTTCTAATCCAAGTATATTTAGCAATGTTGATTATTTAAACCGGCGATTCTCTGTTTTATGATACCGTAGTCATTGAGTTGCACTGTGTATACTCAATGATAATATTCATTAATTTGCACTATACCACTTTATAATAACAACCATATTAAATAAATCATAAATATTTATCTGAGACTGGATTAATAACAGAAGTCAGCAAAACAAATGGTAGGTAGTGGTTTTTTACTTCTTTAAAAAACCCCTAAGAATTAAAGTAGGCCTAATCCTGGCTAGCAAGCCTGTTTCAATCTCATATACAAGTATAAAAAAGGATGTTGGTTTGTATATTTGTTATATTTGGCAGTGATAATCACAGACACCATTGGACTGATGCACACAAAACTTGGATACCAAACATTTTGTGATTATATTTCCAAAGAAATAAAGGAACTAAATTGAAATTTAGCTTGTGGATCGACATGTTTTTGTTTTCGATTAAGGTCTTAGTTGAGCAATCCCTATACAATCTACTTGCCAAATTTCACTTTAATGCAAAAGTACCTCCTCACAAAATCTTATCATAAAACACAATCTATACTTGGCAGGAAAACAAGTTTACCTTCCTTCGTTTTCTGCTATTAAGAAAGGTAATAGTGGTGATGAAATAAGTAACTATTAGTTGTCTCGTTTCATTGATTGAAAGTTTATCTAATCCAGACGTACAAAGGGTAAAGATTTACAGGTACAACAGGAAAAGACTTACAACAGGTAAGGCTATAAATTTTAGCTAAGAACTAGGAAATCCATTTGGATAAACATGAAAAACCTCTAAAAAGATAATTGAAAGCGGTTACAAGAATCTCAAGGATTAGCAAAAGTATTGTTATTTTCAATTGTCTCTGACACAAGTTAATATTAAAAAATAACTCACCTTTCTTTTTATCTGCTTTGCCACTAGACTTGCGTTTACCCTTCATCTTGCCTTGAAAAGCTGCTTCATCTTCAAGAACTTGGATGTCTTCAAAGTGAGTCAGCTGGTCACCAATGTTGCCAACTGTCATTGAGTAACGACTTTTATGTCGGTCTTTTTTCATTGTTGGCAGCCTAGTGAAGTATTCTTCTTCATATCTAAGGGCACACAAATGAAATATTAACATTGTTAGTATATAAACAATACCCCCGCCACAGCAAACCTGCCGACTAAGCGAATTTCCATTTATCTGAATTGATTTTCAATTAAAACTATTTAAATAACATTAGGTTTAACAAGTACCTAGGTTTGCTGCTACAAGGAAACTGAAACTAATAATGTGTTTTAGTAAAATATTAATAGCTTAGTATAAAATAAATAAATTTGCCAATTTTTAAAAATATATCCATAAACAAGCAAACTACATTTTACAATATTCTCCATAAGAATAACATGGGAATTTTAAATTTAAAATTTTTTTTATTTTCTCCGTTACCAATAATTGTACAAAAATACTTTTATATACTAAATTATTTGTATTTTTAAGCTCTTTAAAAAGGTCTAGAGAGAAATTGGAAAATTTTGTGCTTTGAGGGTCAGAAATGAGAAAAACCGATTTTTACCCCATAAAACCCCGTTCCTATGGTCCGATCATGCTGGTTCGCGAACTCATTCAAGTTTATCCCGCTTTAAACCAAATTTTATCAAAATCGGATAAAAATTACTCAAGTTATCGTGTTCACGGACACACATATATATATAAAAATTTGAACGAATGGTTTTTTTGGCCTCTGGGGACATCAAAATGAAAAAGTAAATCGGTCCCGGGCTTGGGTCTTACCATGCCACCTACGGTAATAGCTACTTCCCTATAGGGAAATTCGCTAACAATGTTGCACATGCACAGATAATTGTGAACTTGCAATATAAATAAGACCATTGATGAATACACATCGCCAATTTGTTCATCTGACTGTGATTTCACTGTCCAATGATACACATTCAATGATTATGTACTGACCGATTTTTGAACCTCTGCTGCTTGGTGAGAGACTGCTTGAGAACATTGCTGTGAGTCACCTCTGCTGGAGTGTCCAGATACTCCTCTCGTAACTCTTCCATCACAGAGCTGTGCAGCGCTCGCTTCCTCGCCCTCTCTACCAGCTTCTGCCTTCTACTGGCTGCATTCTCTTCCTCCTCTTCACAACCAAGCAAAACAAAGGGTGTAAAACAAATGTTTGAAAACTGTGTCGTAAGTCTATGCAATGCATATTTTGAACGATTTTATGTTAACACGTTCTCTACCGATTGTCACACATATGCGACGCTGCGGTTATTGCCACGGACCGAGGTATACGTTTTAATATTGCACATAGACCAGGTGTCACTTGGTTATACAGTACACGCAGACCACGTGATGCAGCAAAGTGAAAAACAGTTTTGCCAACTATCATATGACGTCACTAATCATCATAACCACAGACCAAGTGACACACATATGCCACAGACATCCCTGTAGACGACTGCAGAGAATTCAGGGCCTTCAAATATACCGTTACGAAGATATAAGTTTTTTAATATAACATTGGGACACCGACGTAAATACGCGACATCAGTCTATTTTAATGTGACCAACAGTCTATCGGTAAAAACCGGTTGTCGCATATAACGCACATATGAATGAAGGAAACGCTGGTCCATATGAATGAAAAATTTAGTACTATTGCCATTGGAGAAGGAATTAATGCACTGCCTGCAGCACCCTCTTTCGGCAATTAATTTTACCGAATTTTTAGATTTTTGAAAGAAAACAATAAATTAATAATTCTTTCGCCAATTTGTTAACAGTGAAATTGTCTGCAAAAAAAGTGGTAATTGGGTAATCAAAGTCAAAAACAAAATTTGTTTAAACAACTTTTTAAAAGTGAACTTGATTTACAAATTCCAAGATTAATACAGACACCAAATGACACTACTATTATAAAGTTCAATTGATTCCCTCCCTATAAAAATCACAAGCTGTTTACTTTTTTTAAGTAATAACATAGAAAAAAAATTGTTTTAGCCCAGCTGATTTTGGGTTACATCTGGTTACCATGGCAACACAACCTTGTTTTTTATTAGAAAAAATAAATGAGTAAAGTAAGAAGTAAAAGTAAGAAGAATCAAAAAGGGGGGAAATAATAATAAAATAACTAGTGGCGCTGTGTAACGGTGACACAAACGTTACTCGTACGTCGGCCACCGGGCCTGCAACGGCCGTACGAGGAACACTTGTAAGTTGGCGCCAATGTGTCAAAGACCGGTAAAGTACTACAACAACAGTTTTATTAACACGTTCGCTACCACAATTATATGGAATTTTCATTCACATAGACTAGAGTCGCATTTGTGCGTAGAATCGTTTCTGACCACCGACGCATATTTGCGTCAGCTGGTCACATTGAAATAAACTGACGACGCACACTCCCGCCTGTGTTCCATTGTTAATAAACAGCAGGGTGTCCGCAGAAAATTTGTCATTAATTTCAACGACTTTCCATTCCATGACCATTTTTCATTGATTTCCATGAGTCACAAACTTTACTCGAAAATTATAACATAACATACACACACGAATAATACTGCCTAGACAAGTTACAGTAGAGTCCCGTTAGTCCGAAATGGTTGGGACTGGACCCATTTGGGATTAAAATTTTTTTTTTTTTTTTTTTAAATATTTTAAAAAATTTTTTGTCTTAGGACGCTAGGCACGAGCCCGGGATTATTTTTCACATTACTTTAGGCTAGACTTATCGGCTGTAGCATTATCACTTAAATAAAATCCATTTGTTATTTGGCGGGATTGGAACCCGAGACAAATATGAAAAAATTTTAATAAAAAAAAAATGGCAAAATATTTACTAAAAATACTGGATCAGTTGCTCAAGGTCTAAGTCCCGGAAGGTCTAATTAGACCTTCGACACACATTTTACAGTTTGTACTTGTTGCTGAGGGTCTAATCTGGCAGTATGTCGAAGGTCTAAGTCCCGGAAGGTCTAAGAGTACAGTCAATGTAAAAAACGCCTCCACTGATACTGTTTTAGACCTTGCGGGATTAGACCTTGGGCACACAATGTATATTTTGTAAATAAATGTTTATAAAATGAGAGTTGCTGAAGGTCTAAGTCCCGGAAGGTCTAAGATTTGAGTCCCGGAAGGTCTAAGATTCGAGTCCCAGAAGGTCTAATATTCGAGTCCCGGAAGCACAATTTTTATTTCAGCTGCGGTTTTTCAATACAGACAAAATGAGAGTTAAAAAATGAAAAATTATAAAATTAATTTTTTAATTATAAAATTGAATTGTCATAACCAAAACTAAATAGCCAAACTTGCTAATAATATAAAAAAGATACAAGATAAATATCGAATAAAGGTTAACTAATCGAAAAAATAGTTCTTTTCATAAAATAAAATTACAAATGCCTCAAATTCTAACAAAAGACAAAAGATGTACCGAAGTAATCGCATTCTAAGCAAAATCTTTGACAAAAAGTTAGTGTCACCGGAGGGATTCGATCTGGTTACCTCTTGGACATCAGCCGGTAACTCTATCCACTACGCCACGAACACCAATGGCTGCACTTTGTATCGTTGCGGTAATGTTGTTCCCTCAAGAGAAGAGAGTGACGTCACGCCATGACAGCCAATAGAATGTTCTTATTTAGTCCGTAACAAAAAAACCGCAGCTGAAATAAAAAATTACGGGCCGGACACGTATTGAGAAGAGGCAGAATGCAGACTGAGAAGAGTATTAGAGGGCAATGCGGTTGGAAGGCGACCTCGATGAATACCAAAACAGAGATGGTGGAGACAAGTGAAAGAAGACATGGAGAGAATTTGAGCAGTAGAGGAAGATGCAATGGACCGAATAATGTGGCAAAGATTTGTTGGTGCGGCTAAATATCACCTCCGATAAAAATGGCGCTGGGATTAAGTAAGAGTAGGGATAGTTTCCATTATTTCTTGTTATCTGACCATTTTGCTTATTCAACTTTGCTACTACCGACACTCTACTGTATTCAATTAAACAACGGGTAAATGTTAGATAGTAACAAGATAAGAGTTTAGACGTACTCCTTTCAAGAAACATTGAAATTTACCAAAAATATATAAAGACACTCATGAAAGACTTACCATAATGCATAGGAGCCACTCTTGGAGGCACATACACTCCTGGTTTTTTCTCGGATTTGTCTTTTGAAGGAGTTTCGTCTTCCTCTGACTCACTTTCACTCCCAGCCATCTAAAAATGATGTTATTTTGTCTTATTGTATTAAATGTATACATTTGTTGCATTTAGATCTCGTTTGAATACAGATAAAAACGTTTTAAACATATTACAAAATAAATAAATAAAGCCATAAACTTTTATACACATCACATAGTCAGGAATAACAACAAACAGCTTTGAATTAAAAATAATACGGAAAACCCAAATTAACAGCCGATAACGATCAGTTTGCAGCTATGTCCACTCTCGTGCGTTTTTGTGTGTGGCAAGCGCATGCCTTGACGCAGATGGACACAAGTAACTCATGCGTAAAGGCATGCCCAAAATGAGTTCAAAGGAGATCCATTCTATAGCACACATCGTAGGGCAAGACAATCCACCAGCTTTGGATTTCTGTGCGTTTCAACTTGCAACCGCTTTACATTTTTGACAAGTAGCCGGTGTTGTAGTTGTTTGAAGCAACATAAATACCCAACAAACATCAGAATTCATAGAAAATTATCACTCGCATGTAAGTTTGGGAGACATACCGAGTAATACATAAAAATAAAAAAATATATGAATTATATTAATTTAATTAAATGAAATAAGAAAATTACGAGTTTTATAGTACTCCTTCTTCCATATTGTACACATTGATTTCTTACGTTTATGGAATCTACGTTTACGAGTCTACGTTACGAGTGTTTATGAAGTCTTACGTTTATGAGTCTATGTGGTTGGGCAAACGCAAGGTTAAAAGAGGCCGCCAACATCTTTTAAAAAAAAATAAATAAAAATTCTTAACACTAATATTTCCTCCCCAATTCCTCCTATCAGAATACAGCGTCGTCTTCATTCATCTAGGAAAAAGTATCTAAAACGTGAGGATAGTGAGGCACGGGTGTGGACAGATAAAAAAGGAATGCCTCAAAGCACTTGCAATAACGTATACTGTATGCATGTTGAAGTTGAATTAAATGTTGAGTTGAAGGTTGAACTAAAGGTACGTTGAAATTGAAAGCGCACAAGTGTGGACATAGCTAGAGATCCAGTCATGTTCTAATGGAATTACTGCTTAAGTGTTTCTATAAGCTGATATAAGATACCAGCTGATGTAAACATTGCATATTTGTTTGTTTATTGATTTAGTGTTCTGTTTTTATGTTAGAATAGTAATGCAGTTTTGAAATGAAAGAGGAAGACCGCGACTACCAAAGAGAGTATTTAGGAATGGTGCACAGCATAGGGAATGGTTAAGGCCAAATTACAACAGAGGTGAAGGGCAGCAATTGCTGCTATGGGCCTCTAGTTGTAGTTTAATTAATAATCAGCTTTGAACCTAAATAAACTTACATTAGCAGCCATATTTTCAGGATTGGCTCTAAAATGAGTGGGATCGTTCTCATTACCAGCTCCTGTTAGAGCAGTTTTTACCAACTTCTCCATCATATACTTCAGCTTTTGTTCCAAGGGGCGAATTCGTTCCAAAACTGTTCTCATCTCGACCAATCTTTCTGTGAAAAGCGCAAGAGTTAATTGTTACTAATTAAATATGCTTTGAATAGAAGCAATTGTAGGAAAAACACACTGACATAGATAGACAGACTCAAATTAAGTATTTTCAATAAAAAATTATGGCAGGTTTACAGTTTATTTTTGGAGGTAGGTTTTATCTTATTTAAGAAATTATTGCAGACATTTTCAGTCACTATTTTTTTTTTAGAGATCCCCATGTCATCACTACAGCCTCGTGACCTCAGTTTTGCTAGTGCCACAGCCTGGTGTCTTCATTGTGTTACCATGTGTTGCTCTTTTTTTGCCAGGTTTTTATACTAATCTTGCTGTTTCAGGTATTTTTATTTTCTCCCCCTATGGAGAAAGTATTGTTTTCGTCAACATTTTTGACTTTTGAGTGGATATATCCGTTTTGGGCCCCCTGAACCCAAAACAAGTAGTTTTCAAAGTGATGTCTGTCCGTGTGTGTGTGTGTGTGTATGTCTGTCTGTATATGTACAGTGAAGCTACAGACCACACCTGTTGTCAGATTTTGATGAAATTTGATATCTAGGTACTAATCCATGGTATCTCCAGGGCATTTTTTAATTATTTTGATATTTTGATTTTTAATGGTGATTTCCCCATAAAATAAAGAAAAATTCAATTTTCAAGAAAATGGCGCAAAGGACTTTGATAAAAATTTAGTATAATGTAGCCCTTTAAATTATAAACAAAATTGTAGAACTCCCATCCAATAAAAATTGTGGTTCAAAAGTTGTTGTAACTTATGTTGTTTTCCCATAAAAATAACCTATAAAATAACTAAATAAGAGAAAATCAGATTTTTAAAAAAGCCAGTTTTGATCGGAATTAGTATGTGATGGTCCTTGTAGTTCTTAACAACATGGTGCAACACCCCTTTGCTGTAAAAATTACAGTTCATAAGTGAGGCCTCTGCTATTTTTATCTATGACTTCTTAAAATTGATTGTTATGTCGCTGTAGGCCTACCATTCATCTAAAGGAGATCCTAACGGATTTTTGAACATACTTGATCAGGTTTTAAATTCCATCACTGTCTCCTCCAATAACAATATTATAACATTGACTATTGGATACTGAAGATTATAGTCTGACCATTTTGTGATAAGTTTTAAAACCTTCAAAGACCGTTACTGAACTGTTAAATATCCTTAATAAATATACAATTTTGAATACTTAAATGATAGGCCTACAAGATAAGATAATTAATTGTCTGGATAATGTATTTATTTATAAGAAAAATGCTACTATAACATCTGTCAGCTTATTAAATTTCCCATACTCAGACCACAATGGCATGCTTATCAAAATGAAACTGACAACTTTGTTGAGTTACAATTTCCAGTAAAGAATATTAATGATCTGCTCTTGAAACTATCTTCACGTGACTGGTTAAAAATGCTACAGAAAATTAGGGGTAAAGCCTCTGAGAGCTTGTTTCAACTTGTATTTGATACTATAATTAATACGCAGAGGATACGCGTCCGGTAACCGGTCGTGGATTAGGTGTTCGAGTGACGTCACCGGGTTGTGGGGGGGCCCGGAATACCATTATACAATGTAAGACCATCGGTGTTCCTGGTTTAGTGGATAGAGTAATCGTCTAATGTACAAGAGATTTCTAGATCGAATCCCATCGGTGACACTAACTTTTTGTCAAAGATTTTGCTTAGAATGCCATTTTTCTTAACCCCTTGCGGCCGAATGGCGAGTATAGGTCGCCGCCCGCCATTTTCCCGACTGCTAGAATAACAACCTATACTCGCAAAAAATGAAAAAAAATTGACCTCAAAGGGTTAACTGTACACCTTTTGATAGCATTTGAGGCATTTATCATTTTATTTTATGAACAGAATTTAACCTTCAATCAATTTTGCCACCATCAGCAAGATTAGTTAGTTAGGTTAGGTTATGACAGTAACTGCCGGACGCCTAATCCATGTCCGGTTACCGGACGCGTATCCTCTGCCTAATGAATTACATTATTTTTTCAAAAAACTTACAAAAAAAGAGTGATAACAGTCTTAGGTTAAAAGAGAAATTTGGTCAAGAATGGGGTACACCAATGGTTTGGCTATGATTAAAGAAAAGTTATTATTCATAATTATTTTATGAAACCCACCAAAAAACTAACCAAAAAACCCACATATTCCAGATACAACAGTTTACCTCTAATCAAGCCAGAACAACAACAAAAACGCCATGTTAATAATACAAAACCTATACACCCCAGAATGCACCATGAAATTAACCTAAGAAACTGCTGGACCATTTTATTTGGGTGCCATAGCAAAATGTAAACATCCTGAGTGTTCTCATGGCAGCCATGGAGACCAATGAATATTTACTTTTAAAATCCTTACCTAAGAACTTTTAAAGCCAAAGGGGCTAAGCCCACAGTCTGTATCGAAGTATGAATAGTCCTATTACCATCCTTGATATGGTAGCAAAATCTCAGTCAGTTCAGTAGTTTTTATATTATTTAGTAACAAACATACAGACATGGTACCATTAGATTTTTAAATAATAGTATACAGGGTGGCCGAAAAGTCCCTTTACACTAGTTGGTGTTTTAGGGCCGAAGCAGTGGTTGGGGAAGGGAGAATGAGGCTTCATTCTCTACTAACACTGTTTCCTTACTACTCACGTACAAATATTTGCTAATCAGTTATGTTTATAAACAACAGTGTTCTACGTACTGCAATATTGTGTAAAGGGACTTTTTGGCCATTCTATAGATATGTTACATCAACATATACTACTGGTAACAACTGCATCAAATGATAACATCAAATTATAACATCAATTATGGTCGTCTACTAGGTTATATACGAGTTTTATGTCAAAACATGAATACATTTTCAGTTCTTGTAAATTTAGCAAATGCATCAACATTTGGATACAAGCACTGTCCTATAACATTAAGGAAAGGCTAAATATTCAGGTTTCCTTTTGAACTAAGGATTTTTGAGATTGGCATGTACAAATTCAAAAATCCAAGAACTGGAATATTGTCCTAAATTTCTGAGGCACCTATAAATAAGTGAGCAGTAAAACTAATAAATGTATAAAACGGATGTACTGACCAATTGCACCATCTCCTTCAATATTGTTTCCATGAAGTTTCTTTGCAATTATATAAACAACATTGGAGATGTAGTTAATCATCATCTGGTTTTTCACATCCAAAAGACTTATTCCCTGAAAGAAATTTTTTTTATTAGAAAAGATTTATTAATGCACAAGAAAGTCATTAAAGAATTGATTGGTGTGAGTGCACCCCCCAATGAATGACAGTTTCTTATAAAAAAATATCATATTAGGCGTTATTTTTTCTCTACTCTATCCCAAATTATTTTTAAAAGCAACTTTGGAGCCTGTGTGGAATCCACCCTCTTACTAGTTAAAATACCCCCGCCGCAGCAAATCTAAATTTAATATCTATATATTTAATCTATACAGGGTGAGTTTTAAATGAGTTCCCCCCCTACTTTTTTCTACATTTCTTACGATATCAACTCCGGACCACGTCAGATCATTGAAGAGTAGTAAGTACTTCATTTTGACTGGGTATAAATTTTTGGCCGCCATCTTGGATCCGTCATATTGGATACGAAGTTTTTTTTTTCAAATGTAAAGGTAGGGTTGTGACCCATCATTTTTAACTACATTTTTATGCTGAATATGATGCTGCAATCCGTTTTTAAAAATCTTGATTCATTCTAAAGTTATGAGAACTTTTTATAACATTATTTTTAGCCCATTTTAACATTGTGCATTTAGAAATAAGAACATAATCGCAAAATAGTGCTAGAAAAAGATTTATGTATGTTATGTGGTGTATACTTATCTTTATCTAGCACTATTTTGCGATTATGTTCTTAGTTTCTAAATGCACTATGTTAAAATGGGCTAGAAATAATGTTATAAAAAGTTCTAATAACTTTAGAATGGATCAAGATTTTTAAAAACGAATTGCAGCATCGTATTCAGCATAAAAATGTAGTCTAAAACGATGGGTCACAACCCTACCTTTACATTTGAAAAAAAAATTGTGTATCCAATATGGCGGATCCAAGATGGCGGCCAAAAATTTATACCCAGTCAAAATGAAGTACTTACTACTCTACAATGATCTGACGTGGTCCGGAGTTGATATGTTAAGAAATGTAGAAAAAGGTAGGGGGGGAACTCATTTAAAACTCACCCTGTATATTTAATATGCTAGGCATATTTTTGTCATAATTGTTTTGGAACAGTGGTGCTACCGATCACCATGTCCAAGGTGTCATTAGAAAGGTCTTAGCATGTAGTTTTGCCATCAAACAAAAAAACTTTGGAATTCCATCAGGGCTCTGCCCCAGTGGCCTTTAAAGTTCCCATGTTATTATTAGGGAGGAAATGTTTGTTTACATTTGAACAGATGAATACTTTTAAATTGACACTAATATTTGAAACAGCTGGTTATACTAAAATTGGAGACATGTGCTATAAGGATTTATTATATTAGTTGAAAAGATTGATGTTTTACTGTTTTAGACCAGTTTTTATTTGCACAAAATCAAAACATAACCAAAAAAATGTTCGACATAATGGAGACTATAAGACGTCGACCAGGACAGCCAATAGGAGGAGGCCGATGAACTTTAACTGGTAGACACGATCGAAATACAAATAATACTATTGTCGTTGATAGCCGAATACAGCAAGCATCCTTCCGTGTTGGCTTTAAGTGTGCTCTCCTACAGCCGCCTGAAGATTTCACATGTCTGGGCGTTTCTTCCCCTGACTGACAGAATCGGCAGTCACTTTCCAGAACGATGTTCTCTTTTACTCCCAGAAGACCTCTTAGCCTACAATGTCCAATTAGAAAACCTGTTAACATTCTCAAAGAGTTCTTATTCTGGAGTGGGGTACTTCCTTGTGTACCCTTTTTCCCCTTTCTAGGTGCCGGTTTTTCCTGCGCTGCTGATGCCTTCCTTTCATCCTCTTTCTTCCTGGCTTCTTGATTCGTGATTTTCCCCCTAAGGGTTGTCGACAAGCTAATTAGAGGAAAAGTAGGTTTGTGTGCCACTTTGCTGATACCGTTTGTTTTTTTATGCCTAAAAACTGTATACAAAACACAATATTTAGGTACCTATTCAAAGTAAATTTGATAAGTAACTTAAAAAACTCATGCCTGATTATAAACCATACTTACATCTTTTGTATTCAGTTTGCCACTTTTTATGTCAACCTTCAAGTTATCCACCAGAGTATTCAACTCACCAGTGGACTCTTCAATATCTTTTAAGAGTTTTGATACCTCAGTGTGAGACTGTTCTTCAGGGTTCTCATCATGATTAACCTAGACACAAAATTATAAATTTAATATCATTTAAAATTTAATAAATTTTTACAATCATTTCCCAATCTTTTAGGACATCTAGGCCATTGATGTGTGATCATGTTCAGCGCATTTTTGAAATTATTATTTATTGTGTTTGTAGTAGGCTACTTTTAACAAAGTGCATAAAAACAGTCTGGAGATAATATAAATCAACAACTCGATTCATTATAACCTAAACTTTACCTTCCTAATCTAACCTAACTTCAAAACACTTAATACAGTCACGAGTCCGCATAACACCCAACCTACCAACCTCACATGTCTAAATAAGAACTGAAGTAGTTCATAATCAACGCTCAGTTGAATTTATAAATGCCTCTACCGGTACCTCTTTGTCCTCTTTGCATAAACTTACTCTTTGTCATATTAGGTTTCTTCTTCTTCCCTAGACGATCCTTTCAATTTCAATCGTTCATGTTTGTGTTGGTCAGTCAATTCACAGCAAAGTTATGGCGACAGTGACCAGCCGACAAGAGGCATTACAGTAATAAACTTTAAAAAATCGTAGTAAGTTAAATTCAGTTTTTGTGGCAGCAGAAAAATTTTTGCACCATTATTTGCAGGTAAAAATCTAGTTTCCAATGATATATAACTTACTATAGAACGCTTGGTCACCCCCATCCAAATAATTTCCAATTTTGCTGAATAAACGACTTATGACCAATAACCGCTACAGCTTAGGCCTAACTAGTATCTCGTATTTGGGGTCATAAGTGCCCACTAGGCTACCTAATTTGCATGTAACAATACACAATTGAAGTTTTAGGTTATTTTGGGTTTAACCTAAGTTAGGTACAAGTTTTGCAAGTATTTTATAACATTTTGACACGGAAGTAGAGGTATCATAGTGAATTAGCAGAAAAGGTCCAATAAATTCAGAAAACACGCATGTTTGTTCACGTCTAAAACTTCACGCACGCTTCCTTACCTCGTATGAAATTGTAATCATTTTCCTATAGTCGTCCTCCTTAAATAGGCCTAAATATAGGCCTAACTTATTGCACAAAATTGTCACTATTTCAGTTTCAGAAACAATTTAGACAAGCTTATTTTACTGACTATGCACATCATACATAACTAACACGCTTTTGATTTTGAAAGACGAAGCGAAGCATTTATAAATACAACAATTATTTACACATAACATAACCTCAGTTAAGTTCTGTTATGTTCTGTCGTAGTCGTTCTGCTGTCGTGCTGTGCTGAGTTAGCCACTCCAATCCAATCCACTCTCCTCCTCTCACTCACTCTCACTACTAAGTCAATATAAAACAGAATTTCGAAATGTTACAGCAAGTTTGGTTGGTTAGGTTAGGTTAGATTAGAACTGTTTGACAACTAAATGTGAGTGTCCGTGACTGGAAAACTACCCCCCCGGTCTCTGACGTTTGGGGGGGGGGTAGTTTTCCGGGGGGCAGTCTTCCGGCGACCCACTTCACTCACACTGTTAGTTTAGTAGTAAGCTAATAATTAATTGTGCATGCATACATTCATTGCAAGGGCGGTCCTAGACCTATATTTTTTTTGGGGGGGGGGGAGGTTGCGAGGGTTCCGGAGGTCCTCCCACGCTACGGTAGAATTTTAAGATTATGTGCTAAAATGAGAGAATTTAAGATATTTTTGAGACATACAACAATTAATTATCCTATATTGATGTACAAGAGTCCCATATTATTATTGAAGGTCCAAGAATTTGGTTTTAAACATGTAACAAGTAAGGAGATTTTCATTAACACGTAGCTTGAACAACGAATGAATACAACAAAAAATACAATACAGTACGGTACATTTAGTTTAAATCAAAAAACACTTTTTTATTAAGTTAATATTTTTGGACCCTTGAATTAAAGGGTTCAAACTTTTCCCCAAGCATTATTTGGCAAAACATCACTCGAGTCATACATCATATAAATAAATGTATTTTCCTACAGATACCTAACAATGTACATGTTCTCTCACTGATTCGAGAAAGCAAAGTGGCCAATTCGCTCATCCATCAGTGAGACAATGTTAACATTGTCTCACTCTAATTGAGCGGAGCGAGCGAAGCGAGCGAAGCTCTTATACGTCGACTTTTATGCATTTCGTAATACGCAAACTCCTCCTAGACGGCTGAATCAATCGTTTTCAAATTTTGCATGGTGATAATGACCATATCGGTGAGTGCCAACATCTATATAGCGTTAAAAAAGTCTCTCAGGAATCCGCCCCACTGGGTCTCAAAGTTTCAATGTAATCCTTATGGAAGCAGTATTTGACACATTAACAAAGACATATGATCAGCTGTTGACTTTTGAATGCAGTAGATAAATAAATAGCTGATAGCATTTTTCCACAGATATTAGAACATAAACGGTGGTATGGATCATAAATATAATCAAATGACGACACTAGCTTGAGGTTCGTGACGTAAGAAGTGGCGAAGGAAGTAGTAATGGTGAGCAGTCTGGAGTGTGGGAACTGTTTATGACGATTAGATTAAGGTATCTGCATTCCTAAAATGCTATGGGAAGGGAGGAAAACGGGTCCGCGACGTAGGAAGTGGTGAAGGAAGTAGACAAGGCGGGCTGCCCGGAGTGTGGGAACTGTTTATGGCGATTAGATTAAGGTATCTGCATTCCTAAAATTCTATGGGAAGGGAGGAAAACGGGTCCGCGACGTAGGAAGTGGTGAAGGAAGTATAGTCAATGCGAGCTGTCCGGAGTGTAGGAACTGTTTATGACAATTAGATTAAGGTATGTGCAATCCTAAAATGCTATTGGAAGGGAAGGAAACAAATCCGCAACGTAGGAAGTGGTGAAGGAATAGTAAAGGCGAGCTGTTCGGGGTATGGGATCTGTTTATGACCATTAGATTAAGGTATTTGCAATCCTAAAATGCTATGGGAAGGGAGGAAAACAGGTCTGCGACGTAGGAAGTGGTGAAGGAAGTAGTAAAGGCGAGCTGTCCGGAGTGTGGAAACTGTTTATGACTATTAGATTAAGGTATCTACAATCCTAAAATGCTATGGGACGGGAGGAAAACAGGTCCGCGATGTACGAAGTGGTGAAGGAAGTAGTCAATGCGAGCTGTCCGGAGTGTGGGAACTGTTTATGACGATTAGATTAAGGTATCTACATTCCTAAAATTCTATGGGAAGGGAGGAAAACGGGTCCGCGACGTAGGAAGTAGTGAAGGAAGTAGTCAAGGTGAGCTGTCCGGAGTGTGGAAACTCTTTATGACGATTAGATTAAGGTATCTGCATTCCTAAAATTCTATGGGAAGGGAGGAAAACGGGTCCGCGACGTAGGAAGTGGTGAAGGAAGTAGTCAAGGCAAGCTGTCCGGAGTGTCAAACTGTTTATGACAATTAGATTAAGGTATCTGCAATCCTAAAATGCTATTGGAAGGGAAGGAAACAGGTCCGCGACGTAGCAAGTGGTGAAGGAAGTAGTAAAGGCGAGCTGTTCGGGGTATGGGATTTGTTTATGACCATTAGATTAAGGTATTTGCAATCCTAAAATGCTATGGGAAGGGAGGAAAACAGGTCCGCGACGTAGGAAGTGGTGAAGGAAGTAGTCAAGGTGAGCTGTCCGGAGTGTGGGATCTGAGTTTATGACCAATAGATTAAGGTATTTGCATTCCAATAATGCTAAGGGAAGGGAGGTAAACAGGTCCGTGACGTAGGAAGTGATGAAGGAAGCAGTAATGGCAAGTTTTTCGGAGTGTGGGAACTGTTTATGACGATTAGTTTAAGGTATCTTGGTATCTACAATCTTAAAATTCTATGGGAAGAGAGGGAAACAGGTCTGCGACGTAAGAAGAGGCGAAGGAAGTAGTAAGGTGAGCAGTGTGGAGTTTGGGAACTGGAAACCGTTTGTAGCAGTTAGATTAATGTATCTGCAATGCTGAAATGCTATGAGTAGGGATGGAAGCATGTCCACGACATATAAAATGGTGAAAGAAGTAGTAAAGGCTAGCAGTGCGGAGTGTGGGCAATGTTTGTGGCAATTAGATTAACGTATCTAAAATAATAAAATGCTATGGAAAGTGATGAAAACAGGTCCACGATGCAGGAAGTGGCTTAGGAAGTAGTAAAGTATGAACATATTGTGAGAACCGTCTGTGGCAGTTAGATTAATGTATCTTCAATCCTAAAATGCTATGAGAATGGAAGGAAACAGGCCCCACGACGTAGGAAGTGGTGAAGGAAGTAGTAAAGGCTGGCAGTGCAGAGTGAGGGAACCGTTTGGGCAGTTAGATAAATGTATCTAATACTTAAATGCTAGGAGAAGGGAAGGAAACAGGTCTATGACGTAGGAAATGGTGAAGGAAGTAGTAAGGCTTGCAGTGCAGAGTGTGGGAACTGTCTTTGGCAATTACATTAATGTATCTGCAATCCTAAAATGCTATGGGAAGAGAGGGAAACAGCTCCACGACGTAGGGGGTGGTGAAGGAAGTAGTAAAGGTGGGCAGTGTTGAGTGTGGGAATGGATTAATGTATCTGCAATGCTAAAATGCTATGGGAAGAGACTGTAGACTGTAAGTTAAAGAAGCACAAATCGTTACATATTTCGATACGTATTCAATCGTTTACAATATAAATTTACAACTGAGTTGACAACAGCTGAGTTTTACTGATCCATAGAGGCTAAAAACGAATTTTATTTCCTAAAGAGTAAAAATGCTAGTTTAGACCCGCAACGCATGCACCAATGACGACTGTTTTTACTGCATTATGACAAAAACAATATAATGTGAACCATTGATGACTCCACTCAATTTTGTGGATGCATCTGCGAACGCCACCTAGTTACTTTGTCTCACTAACTCCAGATTTGCAACGTGAAGGCACGAAATAGTGAGCGCGTAACATGCAGACAAGGTCGTATGCGCGCGAAATACGTTGTATCATTAAATGTCATATTAAAAGTTCATTTCTGTGTAAAAATATGTTACGTTTCTTAACCAATTTATTTGTTTTATGGCATCTGTAGGAAAAATATAATGTACAACTCGAGTGCAAAGTGCAATTGCTCACTAGTTGCACAAATAAATAACCATACACTATACTGAAAAGAATTTTTCCTACAGTTACCTAACAATGTACATGTTCTCTCACTGATTTGGGAAAGCAAAGTGGCCCATTCGCTCATCAGTGAGACAATGTTAACATTGTCTCACTCACTCCAGATTTGCAACGTGAAGGCACGAAATGGTGAGCGCGTAACATGCAGACAAAGTCGTATGCGTGCGAAATACGTTGGCAGCATGGCAGCACTGGCTATAAATCAATTGGTCAGCTGTTGTACTTTTGTATCATTAAATGTAATATTAATAGTTCACTTCTGTGTAAATAAAATATGCCACGTTTCTTTACCAATTTATTTGTTTTATGGTAACTGCAGGAAAAATATAATGTGCAACTCGAGTGCAAAGTGCAATTGCCTCACTCGAGAAACCATTCCTCACTCGGCTACGGCTCGTGAGTAAGTATTTCTTTTTCTTAAGCAGTATCGTGAAGATAATGTTTCTTAAGCAGTATCGTGAAGATAATGTTAACCTACGCCGTTTTACACGATTTCGCACATTATTTGTTATAAGTTCGTTCAATACTTGTTACATTAACATTAACGTCCGCACTAGTGAGTACTACGACTATCCGCAGTACTATCCTGATAATTAGACCAATTCGTAAATTACAAGGAAAAATGTGGTTCGGATTCCACTATAAACTGTAGGTCCCTTAGTTGCCATTAGCTGTATGGGCTATTAATTAACAGCTGTGTCTAAGGAACATGTCGGCCTTAGTCACTAACAAGACTACAAGATCGCGCCACTCATCCTACACTCATCCTTCACTCATATTTGGGTTAAAATACGCACATAGTGGCGTCCCCATCTTAAATAATTGATAATTGATTGATTTCTCTCGAGTGAGTCAATTGCTCCCTTTGCTCAGTAGCTGTACAAATAACTATACTAGTGGTTATTCACACCAAATTTATAGGTTTCTGAGGGTATACTGTACTTCCTTGGCAAGGCTTTACTTACAAGTATAAGTATACTCGTGGTTATTCACTTCTGCCCAAGTAAATACTCAAATTATTATTAAAATTCAAGACAAGTAAACTTTTTTTCTCATTTTTATTCACTCCGGTCCAATGATCTGAGGGTATACCTGGACGCATTCACTACTTACAATGTAAACTTTATACAGTACGAGTAAATACTTCCAGCCTATTCCTCATAAACAAATTTGCCATTCTCTACTATTAATTTAAACCTGGTTTCCCTATGCGCTCTTACGTGTATATATATTCACTTGTTACTAACTACCCAGACAGCACACTTTCTCCTCAGGACATCCCACGGATATTGCGACAGGATATGCAAGATATCCCATAGTGGTCCTATGGTCAACTTGGGATATCACAGGATATCCACAGGAATGCGTAATGTCCCCGCCCGGGGATGTCCTACGGATAAGCTCACACGCATATCCGTGGGACATCCGAGGTCATCCCAGGGTAGTCCTCAGGACATTCTCAGGACATATGGGACTACTATGGGATGTCCCTGGGATAAAGTGTGGTCTGGGCCTGAACATAAAAAACACAAAATAATATAGATTTAGTATGAAAAGCTTAATTATAAGTTTAGTAAATTGATTAAATAGTTAATAAACACAAATTTTGAAGAAAAAAACGAGAAAAAAGTTTTTGGCCCAGACGGGTTTCGAACCTGGTACCTTCGCCTTGTGAGCCTCTTACCTTACCTCCTGAGCTATCTGCGCTTGTTGATAATGGGTGTTTTCAAGTTGTTAAAGAGTAGACGACAGTTGCAATGGTCGCAATACTTAAAATATTTTTGATACTACAGTATAGGCTATATATGATTCTGTTAATCTGTTTAGGCCTCAAGTAGTTGAATTGTTTTTCTGGTAGTTGGAGAGGATACTGGTATTTGAATATAGATTATTTAATCACCATTAGATTAGCACTGTAATAATTGATTGTTATATGATTAAAATTAGTTTTTTGTTGTTTTATTAATTTAAAGTTAGAATTAAATTCACATTTCACACAACTATGATAGAACTCTATAGTTTTCCTGAACTCAGTGGTAGTAATATGTCAGTAAAGTAAAGTCAACCCTTGCTAGCCATAGTATTAACAAGACATATTTTCAATCTGGGAAACCTTAAACTTTTAAAATAAATTATAAAACCTCAACATCTTAATGCGTGGGAATCTTATTTTTAGAAAAAAAAACAGACCAAAATTATTTGTTAAATAATGAAGACGGCCCAATTATAAATTCGGAATTACTGAAAATAATTACATCAAGAACAACACTGTAACATATCCAAAATTCAAAAGATTAATTTTTCTAATATTATTTTTTATTTTTCCAATATCCTTTAAATCATCTGTTTTAACTTTGTTTAAAATTAATTTATTAAGTAAATATTTACTTTCTGTACTAGTGTAAACACAGCCTGAAGATGGAAACCAAGTTTCTGAAAGCACTAGTGAAAAAAACAAATTATTATATATTGGCCTTGTTGAACATTTAAATTTAGATATACTGTACATTTCATCAGTGGTAGTATTTTTTTCTTCAGTTTGTTACCGGGACATTACGGGACATTACAGGATATCCAGTGGATTTTTTACATGTCCCGGGATGTCATGGGACATTCTGGGATATCCTATGGCATTCGTACATATCCCGGGACTTTACAGGATATCCTGAGGTTAACTTACAAATCCCGGGACATTACGGTATATTGTAGGATATCCTGTGGATTTCGTACTCGTCCCGGGATTTTGCGGGATATCCTGAGGATAGCGCACATATCCCGAGACATTCTCAGGACATATGGGACTACTATGGGATGTCCCTGGGATAAAGTGTGCTGTCTGGGTAGTGATCAGCATTGCTGAAGTAGGCTACGTGTGAAACCATAATAGTTAGTTGATTGTGCATGTTCACTGCAAGGGCAGTCATAGACCTATATGTTTAGGGGGGAGGGGTGTTGCGCGAGTCTGGAGGTCCTCCCACGGCCACGGAAAATTTTAATATTATGTGCTCAAATGAAAGATTTTTAAGCTATATCTGGCACTAGACAACACACTACTTGCAACGTTGCAAGTAGTGTTGTTTAGCGCCAGACGTCCCATAAGATAACATGGCAGACAGGTGACACCAGCTCATTCTTGCGCGTATTATTAATTTAAATTTAAATTTATGAATGCAAATTTATTAAAAATATTGAAAATAAAACATATAGAATTAAAAACCAAAACATTATCAATTGAAAATATATTTCTCTACATAAAATGGAGTCAATTCTTTTTTAAGCCCAGTAACCAAACAAAACAGCTGTAACAACACTACTTGCGAGTGCTTGCGACGCTGCCCCTTCAAAGTCCACGGCCTGGAGTTGATGGTGGCCGTGGATAACTACTCGAGTAATTTACTACAGGTAAAAATAGGTTTTTATTATTTTTGACCACAAAATAACAAAATCTCTCAATTATTATCTTTGGATCATTTTAAAGACAAAAAAAAATAATTTCGTATATATTAAAGTGTTTTTAACGATTATTGGTACGGAGAAATAAAAAAAAAAATGTAAATTTAAAATTGCCATTGTTTTTTTTTATGGAGAACGAGAAAACGTGGTAGTTTGCTAGTTTATTAATTTATTTTGATAAAACTTGGTAAATTTATTTATAAAGCTATTAATATTTTACTTAAAAACACACATTATTACCCTCCCCGCAGCAGCATCAAACCTAGGTATTGTTAAACCTATTTTTTTTAATGTTATTTAAATAGATTTAATTGAAAACCTAACCGTAATGAAAATTCCCTTAGTGTGCAGGTTTACTGTGGCGGGGGTATTTTACATTATTTGAGAATGGGCTCGCGTTTTTGTTTTGTAAAGAAATTATAGGGGAAATTTCAGCAACTTATGAAATCCCCCACTACATCACTCCACTCGTCTAGGAAAATCCTTGAAGATGCTGTAACCGTGTGGTACGTCAGAAATGAAACAGGACGTCTGCTTAGTGCTTCTCTCGATTAGTCCATTTAGATTATTTTGACACGTCATTTTATTTCCTACTGATAACAGTTTGTTTGATGAGTTATCATTTATTTAAAAGATATCTAGTGTAGTTTAGTTGTGGTCTTGTTTTGTGTGCCCCATTACTTACTGCTGAAATTTAATATTAATTTAACTGTTGATCGATCCACAAAGTTATTAACCTAAAGAAAGAAACATTTTTTTTCGTTATCAAGTATTGGTACCTTAATAGAGTTTTTCTGCCTACGTTAAGAATTATTTGTTATATATTATATAACAATACAATTTGAATGTTTTCCATGTTAGAGTTCAAGAATAGGGTGTAACCTTTAGCGCAGGCAAGGTTTTACTTAGGAGATAACTGAAAATGTCTAAAGCTCTTGGAAATTGTGAAGTAAGTACCCTTCAATTTGCTTATATTATATTATTTGCTTAGTTATACAAATTTACTTTTAGGCACGTTGTGTAACTATATCTTGGTCAACTGCATAGAAAATAGGCCTAATACTACCTAACTTAACTTGGCAAATCTTTGATAGGCCTATCTGACTCTATCATTATTTTCAATCATAAAAGTATGGATTCAATCAATCACTTAACTTAGCTCATCCGAATACCAAACTTGTACTGTATATATTGATTGTAACAATAAATTACAATGGAGTCGGATATCAAATGTTTCGGCTGCACTTTAACTTACTTTGGGCCCTACACTCATTCGAATGAAAATATCGATCAATCGATTGTTTCATTCGATATATATCGTTTGGTTAGTTAGGTAAGGTTAAGACAGGACAAAGTGGGGGCTTCCTTGCACAGATTATAATACAGAAAGCCTTACTTTGGCGCACACCAGGATTCCAACCCAACAACACAAAACATCGTGCTTTTATAAAGCACGTAATCCGTGTACGCTTGAAAATAAGTTGGCATCACTTAAAGATATTACGACTACAATCAGCTGGTGCCCATGCATTCCTGACGATGCGTAACACACTTTTTTCCGCTGTCCACGATGGGATATGCTCCACCAGGAGACCGTTCAACATCTTGTGGTGCTGTCGATTGAATCGATTTGTGAGACCTTGCTGAAGGGTGAGGACAACTGGGACTGCTGGTCGCACTTTGTCTGGAATGTCCTTCAAGCTAAAAAAAACGATCTAGATCAGATGACAGTCTAGATTTTGTAAGAAATGAACAGGTAGACACGGCATAAGCCCCTCGGGCGTAGGCAAACTCGGCCTAGTTCTGATGAAGTGCGACAAGTGTTCCCAGGCTAGTGTTAGAAGAGTAGAGGAGGTTTTTAGTGGGTAGTCTCTGGGCCTTAAGCCCATTGGAGTCCCACACTACAGGCTAGCCACCTGTGTGCATAAATGCATTTTCCCACCTCTCCCTAAAAAAAAATCTGCTGGTGCAGCATTTTCTAGGGATCCTAGACGTCCTTTTTTTGGGTAGGCTACATAGGAGGATTTTTGACAAAACCTTAAAATGTCCAGGATTTAGACTAAAAATAAATAAATAAAATTATTCCTGAACACATAGTAAGTTAGGCCTAGTATTAGTAACTGGCTCTAATCATCAATCGCCCAGGATGAGAATGAAATTGGAAACTAACTTAAATTAAAATATTGTGTTAGGTGTAATGATACATTATACCTATTTAGAAGTTTTGTTTGCTTTTTGGATCAAATTTTTTGTTAAGCTTAAGACTGTTGGCAAAATTAACCCCAGCTCTCTCTCTGTCTCTGCTCTCCACCACCCAGATGGTAAAATTGGCAAAACATATTTCTAAGCCAGTAACTTAATTTGATATTAGGCCTAAGTGAGGGGGGATCCAGTAATCCAGACAAACGTTCTGGAGTTAAAAGCCTAAGTTGCAAATTTTTTTTAATAGCATTGTTAACATAAGCCTCATGCCTGAATGAAAATCAAAAGCAAATATTTTAGTGATAGGCCTAGTAAAGAATTGGTTAGAAAATCAAAAATTCTTGTTTACAATGTTTAAAACTTACAATATAGGTTATGTTTTTAGGAATTGTCAGACAATATTCAGTTGAAAAAAATCCAAAATGCTGAAAGTTGTAGGGTAGTACCTAGGCCGATCTTAAATAGTCTAAAAACTGTTTTAAAAAGCCCTTAAAACGCATAAAAGTAATTCTAAATTTTAAAAAAATGTAGATGACCCCCTCCCCCCCTCCAAGGTAAGTTCCGCGAGTTAGAGAGGTAATTGTCCTCTTTTTTGATGGAGGGTCTCTGGGAACCCTTGGAAGCGTTTCCCATTTAGTTCAATATTTAGATTTAACATACCGGTAATCTAAAAACGTGTTGTGTGTTTGAAAGACTAATTATTTATATGATTTATAATAACTGTAGGAAAAATATTATGTGTAACACGAACGTGCAAACAGCATTAGTTACACAAATAACTATTTCAAATCAAAAATCTATTTTCCTTCCTGTTATATGTAAATAAGCTATGCAATATTTAAACAAATGCAATAACTAGTTTTGGGACTTTAACTGGTTGGGTAACTGAGTGGTTATAGTACTCACCTAACAATCAAAAGGTTGCCGGTTCAATCCTGAGCAAAGTCAGTCTTTTTGATAGTTCAAATCTGAACGCAGCTGTTCCTGACCATTGTGCTTTAAATAAATGATCCTGGCTAAAAAACGGGTACTATGTAAGAAAGTTACACAGATCATCTCACTCCATTCTACACCCACCCATCATTCGCATTCAGAATTAAATACGCACCTAGGTGTTACGAGTTTGAAGTTCAAGTGCATTTGTAGCATAATTTGCCTGGAAACAGCCAAATAACTAAACAAATAATACTCCTTAGAAATCAAAGAGTTAAAATCTTCTCCTACCACTGCATTGAAATTATCACATTGGGCCACACTTGTAAACAGTATGCAAATGAGCTCATATCTGCTTTTTTCAATTGCTCACTTAATCAGCTGATTTCACTGTTGGCATTTCTAAAAAAGGTACCTACTTAACCTAAAAAAGCAAACATAGGCTGTTTATGCTAATCTGACAGGAAGAAATCTTGTGTTTATTACAAGCACTAAAAATCATTGCCGCTCTCAAAACGTATGGCCGCACTCAGCTAAATCTTTTTGCGGCCATCTACAGTGGCAATGAGGTATTTTGTGCTCTTAATACACAAATAGCTATTTCCGTTTTGTTTAGCTAATCAGACACCAGACACACACACACACACAGACAAGCACATACAAGCTTATTTAGTTTCTGGCTAGGTATCACTTTTATATACAGGAAATGGTTGGCTTAGGCCTATATTTATTCTTTTGATGCTAGGGATGTGGCTGCACGTGCCACCGTTGTGGTGACTCAGCCAACCTTCATCTTCATGTAGAGATAGAGAACCTCAAGCAGCGGTTATTGGAACGGGAACATCACATTGTCAAGATGGAGACAAACTTCCTAAAGGAAGCGGAGAAGTTTCCCAATGGCGAGATGGCTGCTTTGACGGACGAACTTCTTGTATGGCAGGACAAATACTCAAGGTAGGTACTCTTTTTCTTAAGACAAATTATTTTAATACATCTGTTGATAAGCCTATAGAAGTAATCCCCTAACCATCCAAACAAAATGGGGGTTGAACGGCTCATTAGATATTATCTGATCAGTAAGGTTAAGTGTAACAAAAAGCACAAGCGCCAAGCTTTTTAGGATTTTTTTGTGAAGATATCAGGCTTACCTGGTTGGGGACGATTCCAAACTGGCACAAGAAACACAAAACATTACAATTCACTGTCGCTGACAGAATTTTCAATCATACATGGTTGTATACGTAGTTTTTTGTTGAAAATCCAGTTAGGAATGGTAAAATATTGTAGTCCTAACTTTTGTATTCTGATGTTGATTTTTTCTAATGTAAAATAATTCCCAACTGAAGACGGGAATCAGGCCAGGGGAAAGAAGTGGTTGGCTGAGCCCACGGCCATGAATCTCTTTACTAATCTTCCTTTCATGAGAACCATGACAGTCTTCTCTTTGGGGAACGTCATCTTCCGTTCTTCCCAGTGGCGGCTGGTCCATAAGGACTCTGGGGCAGAGTCCTCCCATTTTCAACAAAATAGTAAAAAAAAAAAAATAATAACATACTTAATAATAATTTGTAATCCTACATTCAATGTACATAAATGTCAGTTGGGTCAATGTTCTTAGGACGGGTAGTAGAGGACGCTACATGTTTTTGCAACAGGTAGTACGCCGGGACGCAGTAGGTATGAGTCCAAACTCCTATATAAACTGCATGGAAATATTCGACCAATCACAGCGCTGCATCAGGCTCTAATGCAACAGATATAGGGCGCAACCTCGGGCGTGCGCCCTTCGCTTCGACATGACTCATGAGCGTCAGATCGGCCATTTTTAATCTGAATGCACCATTTTCTCAGAACTTTCAATCATTATGTTCTTTTCCTTAAACTTCATACACTTGGCGATAAATCTCTATCGATTTTAAGTTTACTGCCAACACAAACCTTATCACTGACAGCACCTCTTAACTGGCGGTATTTTTAATCGCAGCGCTTATCTTAAGTTGAAATTGTGAAAAAAATGGGCAGTGCGAGAATGCTCCAATTGTCACGGCTGGATGCCGACTGAGTTGCCGAGTACGCACGCACCAAAATGTATGAGATCGGCGCGCGCCTAGCGGCGTCATAACGAAACGTTCTTTACTTTCTGGATAGCCTGAGTAGAATCCATTTTGAGGTATGGCATTACCTTATGGGGAAATTCAACAAATAGTAAAATAGTATATTTCATTACTAGGACCGAAAGCGGCATTTTCCGACGCGCGCTCAAGTTTCATGTGTGAGGCAAAGCCGAACACAGGAAAACCAAATTTCGCGTGCGAGGCAAAGCCGAGCAGGTGAGAGTTATTTTCACGTAGGAGGCGAAGCCGAGGACGGGAATAATGGAGCAAGTGTCGGAAAAAAGCTTTTGGTACGAGTTATGAACGATACTTTTCATCACGACGGAAAAATACACACATTCCGAATAACATATCGCAGTAGGATTAAAATAGTTTTAGACCACTCTTTATCATTGAAAATAACACTTCACAACTTACGTGTATGGTTTCATAATTGTAGATTATTTAGATAAATAATGTATTAATAAATACTTCGTCACGTTAATTAACTTAACATTTTGTGATTTGTACCAGTGTCTAAGCTTTCTGTATTCCTCTTCTTATCCTTCCCGTGATTTATACGGTGAAATATGATAAGTTAAGTTGTTTCCATCAAATCTTCAGTAATGTTAGACATACTTTGAGCAATTCCAAACATGCATTATGTTAAAAAAACAGCAAAACAAGCCGTTTCTGTAGATTTAGATTGAGCAACAATAAAAACAGCTGTTTCAAATCATTAAATTAAACCGTAACAAAACACTAGCGCACGTAGTGAATAAATGGAGAACTAATTGAGAGCGAGGGAAAGTAAATTTAGAGCGAGGGAAAATCAGCTGATCGATTTTCCCTCGCCCTAAATTAGAGCTTGGGAAACAGCTACTTTCATTGATGTCAGCTGTTATCGAAAATAGTTACTTTCGTAACGGAGTGATGAAAATATATTTTCAATGCAAAAAAGATTCATTAGAAATATGGCAAACGCTAAATTTAGAGCTTCCTGTAAAAAACATTTCAAAAATCAGTCCATATTAACTTTTCCCAGTCTGTTTATTTATGAAAGCAAAAAAAAAAAAAAAATTTAATTAGGCCCTATGTCCATGAAATTAAGAAAATTTTTTAAAAGTTCTTATTAAAAAATAAATCACTAGAAACAAGAACCTTTACAGTTACCCAATCCATCGGACAACAAAATTTGAAAAATGTCCTTTTTATACAGGTTTAAAGCTGTACAACCATTTGCCGAATAAATTTAAACAATTGGCAGTAAATGTTTTTAAAGTTAGAATTAAAGAAATTCAACTGGATAAAGTTTATTATTCCATCCCAGACTTTTTAGCAGACACCTCCTTGGGTTAGTCATTGTACATTTTTGTTGTTATTGTAATTTGTTTTGTATATAAATGTTTTTTCGCATTGTATTTTATTAAAAAGATTTATGTAATTGACGAGACACCAGTTACTGATATAAGCACCTAATGTAACGTTAATAATTTGTGTCAATAAATAGATTTGATTTTTTGATTTTGATTTAACTTCAAAATTTATTTGTTGTATTTTAAAAAATCATGTTAATAAACCTTATTGATGCTTTAAACCACATTTCTTTTACATATACATATTAAATAAAACAGGTAATCTGATGGTAAGTGATAGGTGTGAAACAAGGTTTTGTCACACACGATTAAAAGAACGCTGTGACGTGAGATTTGAACACTGTACCCAGGAAAAAACTAAGAATAAGGGATTGAACTCTGTATTTTCAAATATTAATAATAATATTTCTTAAATCCCATTTGCCCTGAGATAAGAATCTAATGTATAAACAAATTATATAACGCAATTAAATAAACTAATGTTACAGTACAGTGAAAATAACTGCCATTGGAAATCTTGCCATGCAATGATGCAATACTTTTAAGTGATAAAATATGAACAGACAGGGTTTAGGGGAAAACAATTATATATTTTGGAAAGAATCTAAGATATAACAAGATCTGAGTAGTTAGTATTTAAATAGTTTGTTATTATTAGTCAAATGGCAAATTCTTGAGCTAAAATACAAAAATATACCAAAATACCAAAATACCAAAATATTCATTTCTACATGACATTTTAGCAAACCAAATTTAATTTAAGTCTTGTGAAATAATTTTCAAACATTTGTGTATGATTTAAATTTCCAAGCTACACATTAATCATACGGTACAGCAATTATAACCCTGTGGTGTATGATTATTACCAACCTTATTATTTTTTGTTGACCTTGACATTCCTGTTGTGTTTATGCAGACTGGTTCTCACCTTCAGTTTAATGATGAGTCAGTAGTTCATATCAGTAGCTTTCATCTCACAGTCTATTCACCTCATTGTTACAATTCTTTCTTTTGTCATAAAAATACTGCTAATCAGCTGTTGGCAGAGCCAAATAAAATAAATTTAATCAATATCATCTATATAATATCAAAACGTGACAGGTTTTTTTATTTCACGATTCTGAATCAACCACATTTCAAAAAAACGTGCAAAAAAAGTCTAGCAGCCGACGCTAACATTTTACACTAGCTTTTGGTATAATACCATTTGCTGTAACAGCTGTAAACATTAAGCGTGTGTAACACAAATTCAGCATTTGGATAGTAATGACATGCATAGGGTTGACTTATTTATACTATGTGTAATGCTATAGTCATTGATACGTTCATTTAATTGGTAAGAGGATGACAGACTATTTAAATATACATAGTAAAATTGTAGATGTTCTAATTTATTTTTTAGATCAGTCTATGAAATTGTAAGTATGTTTTAGTGCAATACCTATAATTTGTTTTAACTAACAGCTAGTTGAATATAAAAATATTCTAATGAACTATCAGGTTAGTTTATTATTCTGTGATTTTGCCATTGATTATAGGAGATGAGAAAGATTCTATAACCACTGTAGTGTTTTCAACTAACTTTTGAGATTTTCATTTGTATTCATGTAGTTAGTTAAAACTATCATTCTAGCTACATTTCCTCAACCTTTGATAGTTTTGCCTTGATGTATTTGAAAAGTCTGGAAAATTATACAGTTAACAAAACTTTGTCATAATACATTCTAAATAGTGGCTCTTTTTTATTTTTTTTGTATATATACAATAGAGAGTTGAATTTGAAACAAATTAGGAACATGGTCAAATGTGTGACCTAAAAATCAATCCCATAACACTACATTTTTAGAAATTTCTCAAATGGTCATCCTAAACTTTAAAAACCGTTTAAAAATAGGATACGCTTTCTGTTTTAGTAACCATCATCAAGAATTATTAAATAAACACTTAACAGATGACAGTGTAGAATGTGTCATAATATCTTAACCTAAAACCTTTTGACGAATTCAATTCACTTTAAGCAAGCCAAAGTGTTTTTGCAGGTTGTACGAATCTCACAAGAGGGTTCAGAAAGTGAATCAGAACCTGGAGGACAAACTGCTGAGGATCGTAGACAAATTTGAAACAGAAAAGAACAGTTTGACCAGTGAAGTTGCCTCTTTGACTCGGAGATTAGTGGACGAGAAGTTCAACATATCTAGGTTACAGGAGGAAAATGTGAGTAAACATTTTTAAATATAACTTTTACGTTTTCAGTTATCTTTGTATTCACATTTTGTCTGTAGTATTTTTAAACGTATCATCTTATTGAATTAGAGTATTAAAGTAATTTAAACACATTTCAATGTACTAGTTAGTACAATTAAGTGAATTTAGTTTTTTTTTTCAGTGACTCGTATATTGACTTTCGAAATGTTGATTTTTCAAACTGAATTTGACATTTAATTTTATTTCTCTAAAACGGTGGATATCCTTTTAAAAAATGTTATTACAACCATGTTATATTGCACAGAAGTAATTCTCTTTCTTTATCATTTAAATTAAATCATCCAAAATGCCACAGAATTCTTTTGCCTTCCGTTTATTGTTGCATCTTCTATGCATGTTTAGGCCACAAAAACTGTAAAAATCTAAATTGTATCATATATCAAAGTGTGTAAATTTGATTTTAGCCTAAGATCCTTTTGGTAAATAATAAATTATTTGTATTGACATAGCTATTGCAACTTATCCGTTTCTTTGAGCTGAATTAAATGATTTATTTTAAAATTGGATAGTACTGTCACAGCATCAGGGATACTTAGCCTATTTCACTTTTCTAAGTGATCTTGGTCAATAGTCATAGACCTAAAGTCTATAATTTTGTTGTTTACATTTTTTTACATAGATGGAAATGTTTTACGTTTTCCTTGTTATCCTTCAGGAGAGGTATCGTAACGACGTCAACCTGGCCATTCAGTTGCTTCAGTGCAAACCCTCAAATTTTGTGTCTCAACGGTATGACTCTGTAAGTAGCCAGTTATATAATTATTTTTATTTAGATTTTATCTAGAAGTTAACTCATGCTTAATCAAAATGACGAACTTAATATTAATTTATACACATTTGGAATTTAAAAATTAATGTACATTTTTTATCGTAGTACAGTTGTTCCTTGATAATCCGACATGTTAGGGGATGGGAGAGTGCCGTATTCTGAAAATATTAGAATTATCAAGACTGGTTTTACCATTACATTTGAACAAGATAATTCATGACCGTTAATTTATAATGCAGTATTAATAACTTTTTTACATGGGACAGTATGAAAACACGATAAAGTTAACAAGTAATAAACTTTAAATGTAATTTTTTTCAAATAGGCTTCACAAAGATATACACAGTGTAGTGTGGGGGAGGAATTCCTTTTGCTGCAGGCTTATTTTGTTTTTGCCCATAAGATAACCAGAGGCACTTCTGACTACCAGAGCTAACTTGATTGTTTTGTTTTTCTTTTGATGATTGTCATGAAGTAGTTTTAACGACAATAAATTATCCATTTCATTTCATTCATAATTATGGTGGACTTCATGGTGTCAGATCATCAAGGGACAACTAAGCACAAGCTTTTTTAATTGCTTTAACCTCAAATATCTATTGTATATTTCAAGTTTTATTATAGTGGTAGAATAAAAGAAATTTTGATTCTCCAAAAGAGGGCTTTAAGAGCTATGACAGGGACACACCCTGATCATTTCAAACCTCTTTTTATAGATCTGCAAATTCAAACTGCAGTAAATTTGTTCATTTATGATCTGATTGTTTATATATTAAAAAACCCTGAATATCTTCAATTTAATAATCACAGTCACAACACTCGTTTTAAAAATACTGCGCTGTTAGAATCCCATCGTCTTAGTAAAACTAGTAATTGCCACATAATTTTATCAATTAAAGTGTATAATTCAGTAAAAAATAATATAAATTTTCATTCAATTAACAAATTTAAGGCTATGTTTTATAATTATCTACTTCAGAACCCTTTTTATAGTCTGGATGATTATTTTAAACTGGGAGAAATTGTCCTTTAGTTTGGTTTTAATTTCAGTTAAGAATGTGAATGGAGTTGAATGTTAATTGTAATATTTGGCCTGTAAGAGTATTTTGTTGTTTATTTTAAGACTTGGTTTGAAAACTGCAAATAGACTTTGTCAATGATATGTAAATGTATCCTTATGGCAAATAAAGATTGATTGATTGATTAAAACTAAATGGGAAGATTTATGATCCATGTGAATGTCAGCTGTGTTCATCTGAATACTTTAAACAATGCATATCCACAACTTTATATGATCCAAATTGTCAAAGATAAAATTACAATTTACAGTAGAACCTCGATAGTTCGACACTTTGTGGACTTAAGGGGTGTCGAACTATCGAAATGTGTTAAGTCTCAATCTCAAGTCAACAATAAATGACAAATTAATGTTTTAGTCAACTTACATCACAATAGTAACCATTAAATATCACTTGACAAAATATTTTGTGATCTTCGATTGTTAACCACTCTGATTTCACTCTGAAAATTTGGAAAGAACTGGTCTCGGTCATTGACCGGCGTACGTGTCAAAACAAAATGTCGATCGCTAATATTTAGAAAAGTAGCCTCAGCCCGTGTCGAACTACAAAGAGTGTCGAACTATTGAAGGTTTACTGTATTTAGTATATTAGAAAAATATTGATCATAAATCAGAGCAAAAGTGTATTTTGGTGCTTATTCGGTTTTCAAAGTTCATGAAGTATGATTTCACCACACCCAAAACAACTGCTTTTTTAACACACCTTTGTTAGGTTTGCACTCTTTTGGAACAATCAGAAAGTAATGTAATGAAAATAGCAATAATGCACCATCTCAAGGTTACATACATGCTGTTGTTCTGTTGTAGTTGCCTCATGATATGCAACAGAAGGTTCGCAACTACATCAGCAGCAAGCGACGGATCTCTGATGGCAACGGCAACATTCCTGCCAAGCCTGAGATGAAGACTATCAAAGTGCCCATCCCTACCTTCCCTCCCACAGCCATGGTCTACTCCGTCAACAAGGGGCCTTCAGGTACACTTCTTAATATTGTCAACCGATATTTCTCGCGTATGTATCATCATACAACCAAATTTTGGATAGTTTACATGGGTAATATCATATTACCATATTATTTATTGTTTTACCTAAAATATGTAATAAAATCAAACTTTCATAATTATTTGCAAATCTACATGTATTAAGCTTTCCAACGACCCATTAAGTAACAAAATCGGTCCAGTAGAAATCTAGATTAAGTTGTACATAGTTTAACAAAAATATATCTAATTCAGTATTTTCTCACCACTATAAATTTGGAGATCACTTATATTATTTCCAATAATTTTTAAATGGAGGGGAAATGGACCAAAGTGGATGTTATATTCTGAAAGAGAATAAAATTTACTACAAATAACTAGCCTACTATGCATTTCTTGAAAATTCTTAATAAAAGCAGCCAAAAGCTGGCTACAATTAGAAACTTGTAAACAGAAATAAAAAAAAAGACAGTTTTTAATGTGTTTTTGTTGTTTTTACTTTTTTACCACAAAGATTTAATAAAATCACACTTTCATTATTATTTGCAAATCTACATGAGTTGGGCTTTCTAATGACCCATTAATTAACAAAATCGCTCTAGTAGAAGTCTAGATTTAGTTGTACAAAGTTTAACAAAAATATCCCTAACTCAATATTTTCTCATTACTATAAATTCAGAGGTTGCTTAGCTTTTTTGTAAATAACTTTTAAATGGTGAGGAAATCGACTAAAGTGGAAGGTGATATTCTGAAAGAGAATAGAATTTCCTACAAATTTATACCATACACTTCTTGGAAACACTCAAAAAAAGGCAGCCAAAAGTCTCGCCCAAATAAAAAGTGTGAAAAACACATGTTTTTTTTTATTTTTCACCATAAATCATAACAAAAACAAACTTTCATAATTATTTGCAAATCTACACGAATTAAGCTTTCCAACGACCCATTAATTAATAAAATCGGTCCAGTAGAACTCTAGATTTAGTTGTAGGCCTACAAAAATTTTCAAAACTGAATTATATATAGAATAGATTGATTTTATCGGTTGTAGCTTATTGTTGCACTCTTGTCAATAGTTTGACTTATTGATAGTATAATATACACTAACACAGTCGTGATAGACTAAATGATCGAACTTACTAAATAGCTGCTTGTTTACTTTAGCGAAATTGAAAACAAGTTGGAAACTTAGTTTGCTTAAAACATATTGCAATATGACAGCAGATAGTCCTTTCAATCCTCGCTCATTTTCCGACCTCGGCTTGGTAAAACTTAAGCTCAGGTCGAAAAGAGACACTTTACGCCGTAATATACGTTATACGTGATGAAATATACTTTTTTAAGTAAGGATCTAAGTTTTTGTTATTTATCAAGCTTTTATATATTTTTTATAAAAACATTCAACTAGTCTAGTAGTCTATAGGCTATGCTTATACTGTGCTAAATGCTGTAGCGATACAGCACAAATTTGTCTTCAACACAAGTGTACAATAGTTATTTGTGTAACTAGTGCACATTGCACCCGTGTTACACATTATATTTTTCCTACAGTTACAATAAAGCATAGAAATAATTAGTCTTTTTGGTGCAGTGTTTCCCAAGCCTTGAACGAAATGGGAAACACTGCACCAGCTGATCGTAGTCGTTATTATCTTTAAATGTTGCCAACATAATTTCAAGCGTACACGTATAACGTTCCTAATAAAAGCCATTGTGTTATACTGTTTTGTGTTGTCTTGTTGAAATACTAGAGTATGTAAAAAAAATGAGTGCGGCAAAAGTAAAAAGAGTGCAACAAAAGTAAATGCAGCAATTAGCCACTTTGAGTGCTATTATCAGTACAAGAAAGCCCGTTTTGTCAGGTAACTGTAGGAAAAGTGTATTGTTATAAATAATACATTTATTTTATACAGAAAAAGAGACATCAGAAGAGAAGCAATGCAAGCAAGGCTCGGTTGACATTGTGTCAGCAGCGATCATGGCCAAGATACTGGAGGAGAGAGAAAAAGAGCGAGCCCACACTAAGCATTGTGAGAGCTGTACCTGCCCAATCATTGGTGAGGAATTTGTCTGAATTTGTCTGTGTCGGTTGCAAATTTTATCGGTTCGGTTTTTATTATTGTTTTTTATTTTATGGGTTTTCGGTTTTGAATATTTAAAATTACCACCGAATTATAATGTATCCTAAGCTACATTAATGATCATTTTCATTGTGTGAGATTGAGGTTAATTGTTGGAGATGTTAGGTTTCTGTTTTACACAGTTATTACAGTTAAAACTTGAGTTTAATTAATATGTTCGAAATATCGTCTAAAATAACAAATCGTCTAGTGGATCAAAAATCAATTTAATTGTAAATAGATAGAATGAGAACCTAGATTTTTGTATACATCTTTCTTCATCAAATAATAACAAACAACTAAACACGGTTACCAAGAAATTATAATATGAATAAATTATATCTTTAACACACCCCCGTACTGTCCATAATACATTTTAGAAAAGAAAGTTTAGTTAAGAGGTCACCATTCCAATGAAAGTTTTAATTTTAAATGGTTACGGAGAAAATTCCAAAATATTGTAAATTTAAAATTCCCATGTTATTTTTATGCAGAATAAGTAAGCTGTTGTGGTCTGCTTGTTTATGAACATATTTTGATCAAATTTGGAAAATGCATTTATTTCATACTAAACTATTAACATTTTACAAAAAACACTTCTTTACCCTCCCTGATGCAGCAAACATAAGTACTTGTTAAACTAATGCTATTTAAATAGGGAATATATGTGATATTTTTAAGGAGACATTTTAATTTTAATCCAATCAGGCAAATGGAAATTCGCTTAGTCTGCAGGTTTGCTGCGTTGGGGGTATTTTTATGTACTCGAGTTGTAAGGGGGTAAAAACGTACTACGAAATAAATGAACGCCAGAACTTACCCGATTTTTAACCACAATAGTCTACTCCTAGGCCTATGTGTTGGCTATAGCTTGGGCTATGGGCCAAAGAACGTAGGCCTATTTTTATTCACAGTGAAGTACACAAACGAATCCACAACTACATATTTATTCATAATAGCACTTCGTTTCACATAATAGAGTTAAACCGACCGATTTTACAGATATTTAATGCCGCCGACGACATAACCCCAAACTGGTGTTTATTTGTTGACGGACGACAGACGAAACTAGACCAGCTCAACAAGTGAATTCGATCGGCTGTTATCTAGTAGTACTAAGGTTCGCCGCTTGAGCGCGTAGGCCTCGAGCGGGCAGGAACGAAGGATTTTACTCAAAGACAGGATTTATTCATTCGTATGCCCTCTTCGAAGTAACTTCGTCGTTACATTCGCCCGTTGTCAACGCTTGCACGATTTGACGATCGTCGATGATTCGTTTACCGAAGATTAGCTATATTAGTTAATCACATTGCTACGATTAACGTTTAAATTTTCGTTTAACATTCGCATTCCCGTTTCCAAATTTGATTTTCAATAACTAAATTTAATAACTTAAATTTCGCCGACTTGATTCTAAACCCGCCAGTTCCTGCCTGCCAGTGACTAGCGGTGATTATCGTTTGGTTTGATTTAAATCAATTAGTTTCAAAATTACAATTTCTACGAATGATTATTACGTACGTTTATTCTAATTAATTCACCGTTTTAATGACCCAAGACTTGTCGTCTGAGTTCTAAACCCTGTCTTTAGCGGGCGAGAGAACCTAGTCTTGGGAGTAGGCTGATTTGAACAATCAGCCACGAATATTAGTATTAAATTTATTTTTAAACGTATCACGATAAATTCTCTGTCCAATTAGGGCCTATATGAATTAGGCCCCGACGACTCTGTAGGAATTGTTTTTACCTTTTATTCGATATTATATTATCTACCACCATCTTTAGCAAGATAGTTTACAGTTTATTACGAGTATTTAAATCACATTGGCTTAAGATTGAATACTCGTTAGCCCTACAGAGTCATTCTAAAAGTTAGGCAAAATTTAACAAAACACGTTCACGAAGGTGAGGATGACATAGCTCCCACTGAGCGTCTGCAGGATTTCCTGAGCGCTTCTAGAGCTCTGAGCCTTCGATTAAATTTTAATAAATTGATCAGTCAAAGCCGTGACAACTTCGTATCGACCCCTGGATTTTTCTCGGCTCCTTCTGAGCACTCCGGGGAAGAAATTTGAGTGTGGCCGGTTCTAGGGTTAGGCCTAGCCTGATTTAGGTGAATACTAGTTTATTCCCCCTCTAGAATTTTGCGTCACAGAGTCTCAGGGAATTCCTTGTAATATTCAGAAGAAGTATTAGGCCTACTTATACAGTAAATTTAAATTAAACTATTACTTTTTGAAGTTATAGACCTTAGGGCTAATGAGGCCCATTCCGATCACCATTTATTTAGACAACTAACAATTGATAAAAACACAAATGAAGTACAAAGACCTCAAAGGGCACACACCTACACATCCAAAAAACACCAACAAATAACCACATAATCATCTCACTCTCCTATTTCAACACATTACTGTACTTCTTGTTAACATATCAAACAAAGATAATTAGTTATTTTTCATTCTGATTAGTAAAGTCAAATGTCTATTTTCTTACTTTTTAAATGTTTTCACGTGCACTGTACTATTATTGTTTAGTACATGAATGTGTTATGTCTGAGTTTAACATGATAACAAATTGTACTTATTGTATTGTTGATGTTTGCAGGTGCGACACAAAATGTAGCGACGCAGACGACAGTACAGATGAGTGACAAGTGTTTGAACACAGGGTCGGACATAGTGATGCGCAGCTCCAGCCCGATGTCTGTGCGGGGGAAGGCGGTGGAGACGAAAAACTGTGACTTTACGACCCTAGCGGCCGAGAGACTCGGCAGACGCAAATGGGAGAGGGAGAACAGTGTGAGGGAGGGAGTGTTGGTAAACTTAGACACGAGTGACGAGAGTGAGGAGACGGACAAACCACGGGGGCCGAGACACTGCTCGGTTAGACTGCAGGCAGGCACTAGTAACATACTGCTGGACAATGTCGTGGACTCTTACACACCAGTGTTGTACAAGAGCAGACCCGACGCACTGGTTCACTCTCCCAGGTCAAGGTCAGGCTCTAGCAACTCCAGCGAGGAGAGACCTCTGCGAACCGAGACCCAGATATAACACATCCACTATCACTTTGTAGTCGTTTTAATTTTCACACTGAAAGAAGGCATTTTAACACTGGGCTTTTTTTCCTCGAATTGGTTATTTGAGAAAAACACAACTGTGGAAAAAAGCCTAAGTGAGTAACTTAAGTTGATTGTCCGCAAATTTCAAGTTCAATGAATAGTTCAATATGCATTGAGGCTATGTGATTTATGCTGGTTCTTTGTTAAATGAAGTATTTAGGATTGATGTTGATTATAGGAAGGGTAGGCTTACCTACATAGTGGGCGAGTCTTCTCAATAGGTAACGCATAAATAAATAAACACACAAAATTGATGTGTGTTTCTCAATCAATTTTGTGTGTATTTTATTTATGTATTACCTATTGAGACCACTATGTAGGTAAGCCTGTTCTTCCTATCCAAAACATAATCAAACCTATTCTGGCCTAGAACCCTTTACCAAAAAAAGAATAATATAAGTACTGTATTTTCTTGGGGAAAGCCAAAAAATAATTAAAAGACAAACTGTGTTTTTTTTAAGTAACAATTTAATATTATAGATGTTAAAGACAAACTGCATTAACACTGTTAATGCAGTTTGTCTGAAATTACACATGCAATGCAGTTTCTCAAATAACCAACTTCACTTAAAATCTTTTTGTGTCTGTTCAATTTATTTTTCAAGCATTTTAAATCTGTTTCTCTTGTTATTTTGGTTTTTATTGGAAAGTTATTTTGGCAATTATTATTCCATTATAGCTACAATAGTTAAAAATGTATTTTTGATATGTCTACTTAGAGTTTTTTGATTGCAGAATCCGAAAATGAAATCAGTTATTATTAGTTATTTCATTGTACACTCACTTAGAAATCTTTCCGACAAAACTTATTACATTTTTGGATTCAGTATGCAAACAACTGTAAGTAGACATATCAAAATTATATGTTTTAACCATTGTAGCTAAACAGAATAATTACCGTTATTTTACTAGAAGATTATTATTATGAAAGACAAAGTCTGAATCATAGTCAGGATTGTGAAATTTGAGTTCAAACACGTATCTACAACAGCTGTCTAATCAGACAGTCAGCTAAGTCTATTACAATGAATACAAACCGTATAAGAAGCGAAATGCTTATGGGGAATAGTCAGACTGGATTTTGCTGCTAGTGCTCTACTTCTAGGTAAGTCCTAGCCCTCTCTCTCTACACCAATTCTCTGTCTCACTCACACTGCTGTGCGATAGCAGCGCCTTTGCTACTAGGGGCCGCTGCAGGAACTTGCCAAAATTCAAAAATCTGAGGCTGAATGTTTATCATTCATCATTTATTGTTTATTAACTAAATGTAATAGGTTTCCCGGAGGGGCACACGGAAGATTTCTCAGGTGCCGTTTGACGTCACTAACTGCTGACGTCACTAACTGCTGCGTCTGAAGAAACAGACAATTTTATAATTTTCTGTTATTAAATTAAACTGTCATAACCTAACCAAACTAACCAAACGTGCTGATAATTGAAAAATCGAATAAAGGTTTACTAATCTAAAAAATAGTTTTGTTCATAAAATAAAATTATAATTGCCTAAAATTCAATTTTATAATTTTTTAATTATAAAATTAAACTGCCATAACCTAACCAAACCAACCAAACTTGCTGATATGAAAAAATTGTTGATAAAAAGTTAGTGCCGCCGGCGGGATTCGAACCCGGTACATTCGTATTATCAGCCCGCAACGCTATCCACTACACCACCGAGGCCGACGTCTCCAAGCCGTATCGTTGCGGTATTGGTGTTCCCTCAAAGTGACGTCAGCAGTTAGTGACGTCAAACGGCACCTGAGAAATCTTCCGTGTGCCGTTTCGATAGGTTTCCCATTGGTATAAATAAAAAACATGAGCATTTAGCAGTTTGTGAGGTTTGTTTTCATTTCGTACTATACAAGTTTGTTTGGTCTTTTTCTGGTTTCACATTTTCATTATTCAAACCTAGAAGAAATTAATAATATACTTAATTGCTCAAAGGTAGATTTTTATTTTTATTATTAATTTATGGAGTTTAACTCACAAATTCTCCCCCCCCCCCCCCCCCCCCCCTATGATTTGATTGTCATTGGTATGTTTATTTTCTTATTCGTATAAATTTTAAAATCAAAAACATATTATGTTCATTAATTGAAAACAGTATTATAAACATGAAGAACGCATGTATTTTAAAAATTTATTTTATTTTTATTTTATACAATTGTACACTAGCCCAGGCCTACTGCTTATTTTTTTATAAATGTTTATACATACTTTCAGTTTTGATAAACAGCTATTTTTATTTATTTATGTGATATGTATAGTACGGTATGTATAAATACAATATACACATAGTATAAAGTTTAATATGTATAGGCCTACATTAAACTTTCTTTTAACTTAACCAGGGTTTTCCTAGACGCGGAAGAGGAGTACGGAGAGCGGAAAAGGGGTTATCATGGTATTCCGCTCCGTTTCTAGGAAAACAGTAACATTAAAATTACCTAAGACAAGAGGAGTCCGCTCTCCGCGTTCCTCTCTCCGCGCTCCGTTTCCGCGCCTAGGAAAATCCAGCTTTAGATGTAATGTTGGTTTTATTTTGTAAATGGTGTTAATTTATAATTCTTGTTCCATTTGTGTTATATTTCCAAAGCATTTTTTTTTTGTGATTTTGGTAACTTTGACTGTATATTTAAGAAGTATATGTAGATAGGTTATTTTGTGTATAAATACTTAAGGTGCTTAAAGTATTCTGAGATCCCAGAGTTTTAGTTTTAGTCGGCCATGACATTACAGCAGCCAAATTGTTGGTTTTGTTTGCTTGCTTTCATCGATTTTGTGGGTGGTAAAACTTAGATGATAAATAAATAGGCTTACAAATTTTAAAAGTGTTATTGAAATATTTTTCTAAGGGGGTTGGTTCTAAATACAGTTTTAATTATTCAATGCAAAATTAAAGTTTACCTTTTGACAACATAGGGCTCTGGATCAACATTATACGTTATCCTGGTTTAAGTGTAAGACGTGTTAAAGGTAGACTAGGATTGAAGTTGTACATTCCTCAGGTAAAATGAAAATATTTTTTTTTAAATCACATTCAAATCATAATCATAGTTTTTAAGCAATGACATTATTTTGAAAATGCCCTGGCTAGAATTTCTTGCTTTGCTGTCCTCATTGACGCGTATTCTACAGATTGTTGTGGATTGTTGTGTATTTGTGGCTGGTGAACGTGAAAAGTGTGTGCATGTAATTCAAACAACAGTTGTTAGACTTTTTACCATCTGATCATCAAGAGGAACTGAGAGTTATTATGATTAAATACATTTTTGATAACAAAATATTAACACCGTTCTAATTTTGCCATTTAATTTATTTATTTATTTTTTGACAAATTAGAGAAAGAGTTTAATTAAAAAATGAAAAACATGTAAACGAATGGTAGAAACTTTGTAAACACTGAATCATCAAATTTTCCCAGGGACGAAAATTTAAAGAATACAAAGAAGGTATGAAGGGGCTTTCAAGAATTTGTTGTGTTCTAAACAGTCTTCTAAAAATCTTTATTGTATTAACATCATTTGTTTAAACGAATGTCACTCCCAGGGTGATTACTGACAATAAGGCTATGTAGGGATTTGAGCCGCATATCAAGACATTGAAGGCACTTACCCGCTACTACAACACAACCCAGACCCGTTTTTGACTATGTCAGCGCCCTAGGCACAAATAAAATAGTAGCGCCCCTTTGCAATATATATAACTGGGTGACCACCAACCGGGAAATCCGGGAATTATGCGTGAATTTTGTATTTCTACCTGGAATTGTCAATTTACCGCGATGGCGCGATAGGTTTGCTGCTACAGGAAAGATAATAAGGTGTGTTTTTCTGAAAAATTGATAGCTTAGTATGAAGTAAACAAATTTTCCAAATTTCATTAAAATATGTCCAATGTTTCATTAAAATCAACTTCAGCAAGTTCCAACAGTTTATGTATTCTCCATAAAAATAACATTGTGATTTCATTCTGTAACCGTTAGGCATACAACAATGCTTCAAAATACAATTTGTTTTTTTAGCTTTACAAAATGGTTTGGAAATGAATTGCAAAATGTTATGTTTTCAGGGTAAAAAATGGGAAAACACATTTTTATACCATAAAACCCCCATTAACCCCAGTTCCCATAGCGCAATCATGGTGGTTCGCAAACTCGTTAAAATAAATGTAGGTTTACACTTTTATACTAAATTTAATCAAAATCTGATCATTTTTGCTTAAGTTATCGTGCTTACAGACATATTATGAATTTGAACAGATGGTGTTTTTGGCCTCTAAGAACCTCAAAACGAAAAAAAAAATCGGTCCCGGATCCAGGTCTTACCATGAGACCTAGGGTAATAGCTTATTTCCTATATGGGAAATTTGCTAAAAACAGATCAAATTTAATTAACTATTTACAGGTTCGCTAATTTATTTCATATTGTTTTCTTTTATATCATTAAATTATTTGTCATTTATGTGATAAAATACCGTTGGTTCTCGTCGGAATTGTACCCCGGCACAACACTTTAGAAGTACTGTACCTATATTTTTACCAAACAGGTTAACCTAAAATATTTTAATCTTAGTAAAAATTAAACAAAAACAAACATTTTGAAACAGATGTTATAAATGAAAATAATCTAACAGATGGTATATGATAAACAAAATTATGGCAAAGATTTACTTTCCATAAGAAAATCTTGGAACTTAAAGGGCTTCTAAGTTGCAACCTTTGATAAAATCGTTATTAAAAATATGTAAATTTCCTATTTGTAAGCTGAATAAAGAGTATACCAAATTTCTACCTTGTATCTAGTTGGGATGTTGGGATTAGTGACGACAGAGTGAGAGTCAGTGAGTGACACTTTAACCCTTTCAGTGCTATGGACGATATATCGTTGTGTGTCTTCATCCCGAAAAGTGCTATGAAACAATATATCGTTGTTCGCATTTCATCCGAATAGTGCTAAGCGATGATATAGTGTCGGCGGGATTATCAATTGTGTGAGTTTAAATGAGCATATCAGTTGACTCGTCATTTCAAAATAGCGATAGTTTCTTTCGATTCCTCATATTATCGAGGCCTGATATATATTGTCCTTAATACTTTTGAGATGACAAATTTTATTTTTACCGATTTTTTTTCTTGCACTCTAGACTTTGCCACCATGGCAAGCCTAGCACTTTTCGGACAAAATAAGTAAATAACTAGCTTTTTTTTAAATTACAAAAAAAAATATAGCATTGAAAGGATTAATAATATGTTTAGATGTCAGAACTAACTACACAACAATGTTTACAGTTTTGTTAATCTCTTTCTCTATAAATATGAATCTTAGGCAATTAATTAAACATACATATTGATGAACGGGACCACATATTATGCAATGCGAAGTAGAACGTAGAACAAACAAATCCAAACTATAAAAAAGGTATTTAAGTGTAGTATTTACCTAAAAACTAGAAAAAATTACTTCTTATTTAATGTCTGAGAATTTTAAAGAAATCAACAAACTCTTTCAACTATGTCAGCAAATTGGTGTGGGTATGAAAAGATGTGTTTAGTTATTTTAAAGAAATTTTAATCCTTGGGGTTGAGGATCTCAACTTATTTGTAAATTTTGACACTCATTGGTGTAATAGTAAAAAAATAATATATATATTATCATGATAGGTTGCAGTGAGTACGGTATTTATCTTAAGTTTGTTTATAATTTAAATGCATTTTATATCATCTTAAATTTACAATTTTGAACGTTTGCTTAAAAAAAGTTATTGTATCACTTCATTATTTAAATTCCTGAAATATCTGTTTTGACTCCAAATGTAACAAGAAGAAACAATATTATTTTTTATTATGAACTGTTGTACAAGAACTTTATATTTTCAATTTTCATTTTAATATGTTATCTTTTTAATTAGGTCTGTTAAAATAATAATGAGTGTTACGTTTTTGTATATTTATGTAGAAAGTGATTTAGTAGGGAATGTGCACAGCTTAAATTAATGGCTAAGACTGGAGGTTGAAGGAGGATTCCAAATAAAACCTATTGACCATAAAATAAAATATATTTTTAAGATGCCTCAATCAGGGTTGTGATGACTTTGTCATAAAAGTTTTAAAAAATGGTATTCCTATTTTGTTAAGGATTTGAAAATACAATTTAGAGACTTCAATAATCTGGAGACTAAAAAAATCCACAAGAGTGCACAATGCTTGTATCAAATCCAACACAACACTTTTGATGCTATATAAAAAAAACCTTTATGGAAAATTATTTGTCATGTTAATTTTTTCTGTAGATAGTGTGTCTCTCCCTGTTCTAAAATGTTGTTACAGTACTATTGTTTTTGTTTCTTTCTATGCTTGTGTACAAGTTGATAGGTAGTGAGTACTTTTTAAAATTCAAAGGAATCGGGGTTTCTAGATTTTTATACTGTAATTGTGATTTTAATGTATTGATTATTGTTTGCTTCCATTTTGGATGTTACCTAGATGAGTAGTAGTTGGAAGAACCAAAGACTGTATGTCATAGAATAGCAACTTGTGATATCATGTAGGTTCACTTTGTTCTCATACATTGTACAATCAAATATATTTCTCAACACTTTAACATTGAACTGTAATTACTCCTTTTGATTATCTGAAACATGACCCTTAGGGTGATATATTTTCTATCCATAGTAACAAAACCAAACCTTAACTTGATACTAACTTTGAGAGCTTAAGTCAACAAAAAGCATGAGAAGCTGTATTTGACATGTGCTTCACTATGGATGTGTTTAACTTATTACTTTACGCTGTCCCTGGGTATTTGGGTTTACCGCTATTGTGATTGCATGATCTATGGCTGAGTGCTGAGTGGCATAGGCTACAAGCATTGATAACTAGTTTATTGCCCTTTTAACAGGTATTCTATAAAAGGCATTGCTTCCTTAACACAACATTTCCAATAGCTTCAAGGAGTATAAATTAGGCAAGCTTTAATTATGGAAGCAGTTTTGAAAACGAACAATTAGATTACTGCCACAACAACATTTTAAAGATTGCCTCCTAAAACAGTCAGTTCAGTTTCACTTGTACTAAAATAACTGATTACAGTACCTTCAAGTTGCCATTTCTAAGGTGGTTAATCCTTTTCCAAACTATTTTACTGCATGTTTTTCCCATTTCTACTTAAAAACTGTCTACAGTTTGTGGCTTATGGACCTTTTTGTATCAGTGAAGTACACATATTTGATATCTCTTATTTTATACATTTTTTTATCTCCCAACTTGGCTATCTCAACCAACTAAACATATATTCAAAATATTCTCGTCTTTTTCTATTACAACAATAGTACGTTTGCAAACGCTGTGAATTGTACCATTGAATAAGTGAAAACATATTTGTATAAGATCTCTCAAACATAATGGAACATGAAACAGGAACCAAAACAACCTCAAGGTCTCTGTTCCTACAATAGGATGAGAAGTCTAAATGCAGCAAGTGTCCTAAGCATAGATATACAGGGTGTCCATAAAAAACGTTTCAGGACTTTGGGAAATGAATCCCCATACTAAAAGAAGAAAAAAAGTTTATGGGAAGGTATGTCCGAAAATGCATATTAACCCAGATATCTGCCATTTTGTTTTTTATGCAAAACTATTTTTATCTGTGAAGTTTTTTATTCGATGATTATGAAATTTGGTAAACATGTTGGTAAACACAAGACCTATAATAGAAAAAATAATAAAGTTGTTCCGATTGTAAATTTTAAAATGGCTGCCGTTTGAATTTTTCTTACTTAAATAACTCAAAAACGGCTCTATGAAAACATGTCAAGATTAATTTTTTTAGCATTTTTAATTTCCTATCAAATGATACCAAGATCAAGAAGATCAGACAAAAAATAACTCAAATATAACGTTTATTGTGTAAAAATAAGGCAAAAATGAAGGGTTCCCCGACTAACTTTGCCTTATTTTTACACAAAAACCGTTATATTTCAGTTATCCTTTGTCCGATCTTCATGATCTTGGTATCGTTTGATAGGAAACATCCTTATGGAACAGCTGAAGCTGAAGCCAATATTATTGTTATTTCTATCTGGTGCATTATAGTGGTCGTGTTTTGTTTACAATTTGTTTCTTGTTATTTCAGTAATTTAAAACCCCGTTTAACAAAAAAAAAACCGATATAATCATAAACAATAACTCATCCTCTGAAAGCCAAACAGTAAAGCACAAATCATGAAATTAACTCTAAATTAATAGAAACTAAATTTATCTGATCTGATCTTCATGACGTTCCAATCAACTGAGCTGACTCCCTACTGGACTAAGGCTGCGATCGGGAGAGCTTCGTCTGTTAAGACTTCGTCCTCTTCAGCCGGGGAAAGGATAGCAGCTGTAGCAGAGACGTGTAAATAACGAAAGAGTGTAAAACGAAGCTCAATTCTGCCACAGCCGCCGGTTGGTGTTGGGTTGAGTGGTTTTTGTTTGAGAATGGTTGTATGGTTGGTTTGTGGCTTTCGGGCAGGGTGTTTGGGTTTGGGTTAGGTGTTCGACGACAACTACCCACCAGCGTCACCGGACATAGACATGAAAAACGAGCCCCAACATCTACAATGGGGTCAATGGTACAGTAGTGCAATACATCATCCGGACCATCCTCTCCGCTGAATATTCTTTAACCAATGCTTTATTATACTCGTGACGTCATACCAACTCTGGCGCTGTACACGCGATAAAAGGCAAGTTGCAAACTCCGACATTAAACAATCAGCATGTAAACGTCGCGTGACAAAAGTATCGCAGTTTATTCCATTACGAGAGTGGAGAGTTGTAGGACAAATGAGGTTAGCCTGATTAGCGCAGGGCCGTACCAGCAGGTGCGTGGCGGCAGGGATCAATCCTTGATCATGGAGCCTCATTGCGTGAGTGACCCCGCGACCTTGACCGAGCTCCGCACATCCTCCACTTTCCACCGCCATTTTTTTTATTACAGGTGATTCACCCCCAGAACTACTTTGGAAGCCCCAAGTTTTTGTTGTTGCGATGTTATTGTTTAAGGAGGAAAACGATTTTTAACAAAAGTAGAATACAAAATACATATGCATTACTGCATTTGATTTTGTAAGTTACTCTGTTTATCCTTATGAGTTGAAAATAGAAAGCGATCTCCTAGTCCGAGTATATCTCTACACGTTTTTAAACATTTAACGATCTTGGACGACGCTTCAAAAACCACCTTAAAAGGGTGATGTTTTTTTTATACCCGTTTCCAAATGTCTTGACAATAGTTATTATTTGCAACAAACGAATTTATAAGTCGAAGAGCAGTGCAAAAGTTATAGCTAGCAGGGTAATCATTGTAATCATCCTATTTTGTTTTACATTGTTTATCAGTCCTGGCTAAGAAAAACACATTTTTTTGTCTCTGGTAGTAAAAAACTAAACCGCTTTCTTATCCATAACAAGCTCATGTCACTCATTCATTCATCTGGTTTTGAACATCCTATCTTATTGTTACGTTGATGTTTGGGCATAGACCTAGGTATAAAACTTAATAAAAATCGTCAACTGATACAGGTTTTGTCATTTTCCCCCTATGTAGGGCCTATATATTCCGATAACATTAGGGTGAAAAATGTTTGTTTGAAATTCAATCACGCATTACCTACTGGTCGGATTGGGTTGAAATTTGGCATTATGATAGCTCAGATTCCCGATTAGCATATAAGTATTTTCTTATAAAACAAAATCCTTTCGGGCTCCGCCCCAGTGGCTCTGGGATTTCCCATGTTAACCTTATTATAAAATCATAGAACACCACCAAGTAGAACAATAGAAATAATGTGTTTTTTTTTTTAGAATTTATAACCATTAGGCATATTATGGACAACCTAATGCAGCTATGAGTGGGAAACATTTGTAGAAAACACCAAAAACAAAGATCAGATTTTGAAAAATGGATATTTACAAGAAATGTACAGGGTGTCCCACGAAGAGGTTTAAACGTTTAATTTTATATTTCTCGCCCATTTATAGACCGAACATTTTGAAACTTTTCTTAATTTATAAAGTAGGGTTTAAAAATATTCTGGGAGAATTTCAGTGGAAACAACCCTAATCCTTGTGGAAACAAAATAGGGGCGTATTAAATGTTCTTATTAACTAATTATATAAAATAAATGAATTGATCGTTATTTATTAACTAGTGAACTAGCGATCCACAGTTTGAATATTTTTAGAATCTACTTTTTGGGTTTTTTATTAGGCTATAATTTTTATTAGGTTCTAATTTCCTGATAAAAAAGCCACATCTCCCTAGAATGTAATAATACAAATATTTAACAAAACCAAAAACACTATTTCTAATGTTTTTAAAGTGTCATTTTCAATGTGCCACCATTTTGTTTTTACAAGAGGTAGGGAGCTGAAATTTTTCCAGAATATTTTAAATACGTTCTTTATAAACTGAGTAAAGTTTCAAAAAGTTCGGAGCATAAACGGGCAAGTAATATAAAATCAAACGTTTAAACCTCTTCGTGGGACACAAAGAAGATTATATCGAACTGTTATGTACATCGTGAGTATTTCCATAATCTTGAGTCGACTTTTTTAAGGTCATCAGAAATAATTAGTGTTATTCGTTTAAAAATAACGCCTGTAATACTTCGCAATTGCTCGAATTCGAGCAACAGGTACACTACAACTATCCTGTAGAAGACATGAACCGAATGCAAAACTGCAAAATTCTGCTATTCTATTCATTTTTTGTCTCAAAAAATTTTAACACATCACTCCATTCAGAGCTGTAGCGGGGATGACAACAGTTTGCAGGATCATGTCGTGCTGCATGGTGCACAAGGCTCTTGTCATACAGTGAGCACAATACCTCTTCTTGAGAGACTCTCTTTTCTCTTTCCAGGAGGAGGTCTCTCAGCGCAGTACCCGCCATGGAGGTCTCCAGCTTCACTTTCCGCTGTACAACGACCTCCCCTCTGGCCTAAAAATATATGCCTTGTCATCCTTTAGAGTTAATATAAAAGAATTGTACGCTGATGGTTTATTATTGTTATTTATATTGTATTGTTTCTGTTTTGTTATGGTTCTACTATTTGTTAGTTTAGTTATTGTTATTGACGAAAGTTGTTCTGAAAAGCAGTTATACTGAGAAACGCTTGATAAAAAAGGCATTTTTATTTTATTTTATTTAGTACTTTATCAAAACTGTTGACATTATTAATGTGTTAATAATTTTTCATACAACATCATTATCTACAGATAAGTGCTCTCTTCCCGTTGCGAAGCACGGGTATGGTGGCTTGGCTAGTAGATTATTAAATTACATTTAAAACAAAGTATGCAAACAAACTTCAACTTTGCAAGTCCCAACTTACTGCTCCACTTTACACGGGTAATCAGATAAGTCGTACTTGTCTTTGTACATTTATTGAGAACATTCCTTCATGCTGCGGTCGCGTGTTGTCTCAAAACAGGGCACTTTTATAACAGTTTATTCCGCTTTGTCGAGGCCGTTTCGCAACCGTTCTTGTAACATGTAATTTACCAACTGAGTTTAGTCTAGTAGCCTTGGTAGAAGACGATTCACGTTTTCGTATTTATCATGATCGGTCCTTATTTGGACGCAATTAAATTAATTGCTGTATTTGTGTAACCATCCCCACGATTTTTAATTTTCGGTAACACCGAGAAAAGATTAAACCACTAAAATAAACTTGTTCTCGGGTGTCAATGCAAGGATTTAAATGTATGTGTTATCAACTGAATTAATTTAATCTTGTTCTTTTTGTTAGTAAGAAAATTTTATTTTTTGTAGTATCTTCAATACTTTAATGCTTTTCAGTGAAATGGTGACCATACAAAGTAGGTATTTTAAGCCAAGTATGAATGGAGATGAGTGTAGGATGAGTGGTGCGATCTTGTAGTCTTGTTAGTGACTAAAGCTGACCCCGAGACACAGTTGTTAATTAATAGCCCATACAGCTAATGGCAACTAAGGGACCAACAGTTTATAGTGGAATACAAACAACATTTTTGCCTTTGGTATATACGAATTGGTCTGATTTTTATCAAACTGAATCTCACAGGATGGGCAATTTAAAAACCCCCTTCTGTGTTCTTCATCTTTTATTGTTCGCTCATCTGTGTATAACCATCACCACTGTAGTGTTGTGTCCATATTTTGGTAGAAAAAATATAATGAACTATAGTTCCTCTAAAATTTCTCCATACGTTCATCATTTCGCCATGCAACATAATCTATGAGAAAGCCTCCATTGACAACAACTGTAGCACCTTCCAGACAAGGCTGCTTAATGTTCCTTCTGAAAACAATTTAGCCTCAAATTGTAGATTTGTCATTTATCCTGAGGGATGCATCATCAAAAACTGAAGGCAGTAGAGAATGGGTTTTTAATTTTTTGGGACAACCGGTTAAACATAAAATCCGGACAAGTGGTTGGGTGTTAATATTGACTTTGAATGATCGAACTATAGTGGATTTATAATTAGTTGGGGTAGGTTTCCTTTCACATTTTGCATAGCAAGGATGGCAGCGATTCGTCTTGCCACTAATTTGTTTATACTGTTATTGGCACCCCGCCCTCACTACTAGGTGACTAGGTGCATGTGTGACTAAGGTGTCAGTGTAGACACTTGATGACTGTCAACTACAGAGGTTAATGAGGTCATTAGACATACCGTGGGTGCTATTGTTGCCCACCTCCCTCGCCTACTACTGACCATATTACAGCTTGTAGTGGAGTAGACACTATTGGCTGACTCACACTGGCGCAGCGAGAATAAACAGTCTTCTGTCTACTAACGTGTGTCAAAGAATGGCCTGAGTCTGTCATACAAAACTCAGCCTCTTCTGGCAATGTTGTAGTCAATGCATCTTTGCAATTGCTATGGTATGCGTTGTTGCTAGTTGTTGTTCACAAATCAAGTCTGCCGTTAATTACTTATATTATGTACTTAATTTAATGGCGCCACTGGTTGATTGAAATAATCTTTTCATTGCTTAGAAAACACATACTTTTTTAACCCTTCGACATTTAACTGACAAAGTTAAATTGAATTATAAAACATAGAGCTCAGGGACGTGGCGAACTCCTTAAGTTTAATTGTGTTGCTGGTTTAAACATTATTTATTTTACTTTTAAAAATTTTCATAATTTTATTCTTACCGAATTTGTACAGATCTTATTTCAGTTTCAAACATTTCATCTTCTAAAATAGTTTGTATCAAGTATTAGTTCGAACCCCAATATTGAAAACGAGTTAGGAAAAAGTATTTACCTACGACCGTTTTTTAAAGTAGCCATTTCAGTTCAGTTCTTAGAATTGAAAAGTTTCACTTAACAGCTGTTTACTTTCATATCAGCATAGTTTTTCTCATATCAACACAGGTAACGGACCAATTTTCTCAAATTCTTATTACTGTCCAAATTGCACAACAAATGCAAGGCACAATTGTTTTACCTAATTGGTTTGGAAAATCGACGAACTACTCGCCAATCTCTAATTGCATAGCTGCAGTTGCAGATAGTAAGGTCGCGTGCCTCCCTTATCAGTTACAGCCCTCCATTGATGTTATCAGCGTGGCGTGACCTTGAAACTTATCTCTCGCCTGGCCTGACTACTCTTGCTGATGACTTACAGCCAATCAGATATCAGCATACAGCACGATCGCAACATTGCTGTTGCTGAGAAGCTTTAATACAGTTTGTGTAAGGTAAGGAAAATACAATAAAACACGATTGGAACAACCAGGACGCTTCTAGTCCATTTTCCTTGGTTATTATTTTTACTTCTGACTTTATTCACTGTTTAGATTAAGTATTTACGTATGCCTTGATTTGTAGTTCTCTGGAACAGTTCTGCTCTAAATACTCCCAACAACAAACCTGCAGATACAGCAAATAGACTTCTAATCACAAAACTAGAAGACGCTGTTAATTACGTGTTTGCTGTTATTTATTTTTCAATTCATTGAAACGCATTGGGTACATTTGCTGATTTTGTTGAGAAATATGTTCTATTTTAATTTACATTCGTACATATTACAATGTAAAAATCGAGAAAGCCTGGACAATTTGATATGTTTTACCAAATAAGAAAAATGAATTGACATAGCACTGCATTTCTGGAGCTATCGTTGAAAGAACCGATTAACCATGGAAACATAGGATAGTCATAGAACGCCACCGAGTAGAAGAAATAGATATTAGCGAATTTCCCTATAGGGAAGTAGCTATTACCGTAGGTCTCATGGTAAGACCTAGGCCCGGGACCGATTTACTTTTTCATTTTGATGTCCCCAGAGGCCAAAAACACCATTCGTTCAAATTTTTATATATCTATATATAGATATATATATATATATATATATATATATATATATGTGTGTGTGTGTCCATCCGCACGATAACTTGAGTAATTTTTGTCCGATTTTGATAAAATTTGGTTTGAAGGTGTAAGGCGGGATAAACTCGAACGAGTTCGCGAACCAGCATGATCGGACTATGGGAACGGGGGTTTACGGGGGGTTTTATGGGTTAAAAATAGGTTTTTCCCATTTTTGACCCAAAAAAAATAAAATTTTGCAAAATCTTTTCAAACCATTTTGTAGAGCTTAAAAAAACAAATAATTTAGTATATTGAAGTGTTACTATGCGCCTAATGGTTACGGAGAAAATTCCAAAAAAATGTAAATTTTAAATTCCCATGTTATTCTTATGGAGAATGAGTAAACTGTTGTAGTTTGCTTGTTTATGAACATACTAGCTGTAACCCGCGGGCTTTGCCCCGTTTTAACTTCTTAATTTTCAAGATTATCTCGTTCGCGTGGCTCAATCACGTTCTGGTTGAAGTTTGTTCGCTATGCTCACTCACCTTTAGGTTGGAGCTCGTTCGCTACGCTCACTCACGTTTAGGTTGGAGCTCGTTCGCTGCGCTCACTTGCCTTCAGGTTAGCTCGTTCGCTACGCTAACTCGCCTCCAGGTTGAAGTTCGTTCGCTACGCTCTCTCACCTTTTGGTTGCAAATTAGCTGTTGTCATAAATGTAAAAGAAATAATAGTGCTGCACCCTGTTGGTAATCCTTGTAACTTTAATGCTATTGAACATCATAGAACAGAACCAACTTTTAGTTGAAACAGCTGTTAAGATTCAATAATTCCATTTCTCATAAGGTTAACATGGGAAACTCCAGAGCCACTGGGGCGGAGCCCGAAAGGATTTTTGAAATAAGAATATGCCTATATGTTAATCGGGAATGTGAGCTATCATCATGCCAAATTTCAGCCCAATCCGACCAGTATTTTTCGCGTTCACTTGTCACAAACATACATCCATACATCCATACATCCATACATCCAAACTTTCTCATTTATAATATTAGTAGGATTTTGATCAAATTTGGAAAATGTTTTTATTTCTTACTAACTATTAACATTTTACAAAAAAAAGTTTTACCCTCCCTGATGCAGCAAACCTAAGTACCTGTTAAAATAATTCTATTTAAATAGGAAATAAATGTTAAATTTTTAAGTAGACATTTTAGTGTAAATCCAATCAGACATATGGAAATTCGCTTAGTCTGCAGGTTTGCTGCGGCGGGGGTATTTTTTATTACTATCGTTATCAACCTATATAATGAAGAACACCTACAATATGAAGATTACCACAAACAATGAACGAGGATGTTAACCGAAGTGCTACTATTTTGTAGGAAACATGGACTTAACTTTATGATGATTGGAAAGGAAACCCCTCTAAAGCTGAATTAAACTAAGTAACTCGTTTTAACAGTAACTCCAGTAACTAGCCAAATTAATGCCAATTGAAGCAAATATAATTGTGACAGAGAGGTTATCAAGTTCTTAAGTAATGCAAACAAAATGTTATCATGATAAAAAATGCCTGAAAATTGTAAACGTACTGGTGACAATGGGTGGTACCATGCAGCCTACATTATCATTGACGAAGACCAACATGGACAACCTAACGCGGCTATAAGTGGGACAAATTTGTAGAACACACTAAAAACCAGATCAGCTTTTGATACATTATTAAATATTTACAAGAAATGTTGATTATATGAAACTGTTAGGTACGTAATCTATGAGTTGAGTATTTTAAACTCATCGGAAATTAACAATTTTATTCGTTTTTGAATAAGTTATTTGTTTTTAAATACCTAACTATTTTACTTCTTTGCAATTGCTCGATTTCGAACAACATGTACACTAGTTGTATATTAGTTTATTGCTTACCATGCGATGTTAATAAATCAAGCTATCTGCACGACGACCAAGGCATTAGAGTTACAGAATCAAATTACTATACCTACTCAAACCAAAATGATCTTTGCAAGTTCTTGATTTAAACCCATTAAAATCATAAGGAGACCACTCAGGTAAGGAGTTCGGTAATATGTCAATAATAAGGCATGAAAACTACTGCTAAAATATCCAGCTTACGTTTTATTATTTAATTGAACTTAGTGTTAAAATAATTCCAAAAAAGTAAGTACAGTATGAAGAAGACTGTTGATTATCCCTACCAAATATAAACGACGCGATCTATCGAAAGGTTCGATATATCGCGAACCCTGCGTGTAAAGGATATACGATAGATCGATAATACAACAATGTAAGTTCGTACAACTCCTCAACTGTCATTTGGAACTTAATCCGGGAAGTAGGTCAGCAAGTGTTGCCCTGCGCCACCAAACTCAAAATTAAATTTTTGGAGAGCGTCGTAGGTAGGCCCCTATAGCAGTTTATAGTTTATAGTAAAACATTTAAAATTTCAAATGGTAATCAAACTATTTATATCTATATATATATATATTATAACTAGCAGAGTACCCGTCCTTCGTACGGGGTTGGCATATAAGTATAAAATGCTTATTGCAGTTATACTCGTGTTTTGCGTTAGCAATGTAAGAACACTTGCACGGTGTAAGAAAACTTGGTTTAAAGTACTATAATTTACGGTATACTATGGTATAGCACATCTACCATAGCCATAATAATCTACCTCTACACCTAAACAATAGAAAAAAGTAAAGTTCTCACAACTTTTTGTTCAAATTAGCTGTTGTCATAAATGCAAAAAATAATTAAATAGTGCTGCACCCTGTTGGTAAACCTTATAACTTTTTAATGCTATTGAATATCATAGAACCAAATTGTGTAGTTGAAACAGCTGGCAAAGTTCTTTAATTCCTTATCGGAAACTCTTGACATTGGGGCGGAGCCCGAAAGGATTTTTGAGATAAGAATATGACTATATGTTAATCGGGAATGTGATCTATCATCATACCAAATTTCAACCCAATCTGACCAGTAGTTAATGCGTGATTGAACTCCAAACAAACAAACAAACATCGTATATGGTCATATTATGACTTCAAACATAGTGTTCAAATTGGTCCTGTAAACATGTAAAAACGAATTCAACTTAACATTATATTTTTAAAAGCATTCTTATTCTTGCTACTTTGCTTCTGCATTATCTCCAATTTCTAAACCCTACTTGTAATCTCGAACAAGGAAATATAATATGGAATGTTTGCCAGGCTAACCACAAGATATTCCTTTTCACCCTGATTCTGATTATGTCCCACAGAGAATATAAAAGGATACAAGGAGTAAGTTTTATTGGTCTCAATTATTTGCTCGAGATAGATCGGGCGTTGGAGGAAGTATCGGGCCTCAGACACAATTAATTAACTTTCGTTTGGCGCCAAAACAAATCAATAGCCTTTTAACGAGACTTTGTTCTCCTCTTTTATCGTCGTATACTGTAAATAAAAGTCGCAATTTTCAAACACGGGTTGAAAACATAGGCCTACATTCTTACGGGTTTATCGATGGTTTGTTTTATTGAAAAATTATTGCGTTTATTGAATTTAATGCTTTAAAATACTTTTTAAGGTATACATCGATTTTTTTTTGTTTAAAGTTCATATTTAGATAATTTAGAGTAATGGAGTATTGTGGGCATCACGAGTAACAGTTTTAGTAAGGTTTGTCATGTTTGTTTATGCAGTTTTCGATTTTTTCCCAGGATATTTTCTTTCACAATTATACTCTTCCCTGCTTGGGTTTTATATTTTATTTTCCAGCTTTAACGGGATCAGTTTCTAGGGACCAAAACTTAATAAAATATTCGTTTAGTAAATCAAAGGTTTTATTTTCCATCACGGTCAATATCGTAATGGAAAATATCCGCAATAATCCATTGCAAAACATTAAATTATATTGTGTGTAGAATAGAGATGGTTACAACTGATATTGTAGCAAACTAAGAAAATGTTTGGTGTCACAGACACTGACTAGATACAATCGGGAAACCACATCAATAAACTGTGATTAGACCGAAATAAGAGAAATAATCAACAATAATTCCAACTTGGCTGTCAGCGGAGTTCGCCCTCTCCCCATTAAGCTCTTGACATGTCAGTTATACAGTGTCTATAATCACCCCTATCACGCTACTAGGACATAGCTTCACCCTTCCCCCACAATACGGATCTCGAGCACTTCTCTTACCCCTAACCGATCTTTTTCCGAATTTATTTTCCACTGTCGCGGTATTTCGTCCGTCCTCCCCCCCCCCCCCATTTACATACCCTTCTTGTCTCTACTTTTCTGACAGGGCGTTGTTGCGTGTTAAAAATGCGCTTTCCCCCAAACTCTGAGTACATTGATCCTACGCGAGCAATGTGTTTTTGGGATGGATTCACAACTTTTATTCGTCACTGTTTTCTGGTGAAGGGTTCAATAACGGGGAATGTGAGTTTTAACAGTGAGTACAATGTGTAATTGGACTTTAATCTGTTGAAAATTTATTTTTATTAATATTTTTATTTGTATAAATATGTGTCGGGGAAATATATTATTTTTATTTTCATCCCTGGACTGAAACTCTAAGTAAGACGTGCTGTTACTGATTGCTTGCAAGAAGAGATATACATGTTGTACAAACATGCCTGTAGAATGGAAATTGTATTTTTCCTAATAGAATTTCAAGGAGAAATGTTGTTTATGATGTAGAGGAAATAATGTACTATCATGTAAGCGCAGAAACCTTAGTACTCCGTAAAATTAACAAGCATGAACCCCTATTTCTTTGATGAGGTTGGAAATGAATAATCGTCTCAATTTGCAGCATATACATAAAGCTATACAAGCAATATATAGCTTACATATACATAAGCATATAGGTACATGTAAGCTATATTTTATCTACGGTATTTAAATTCAATAATAACTAAAAATATAATCTATTAATATTTACTGTAATTACTTTTACACAAAAGCTACTATAATCTGCTCTTTATTTACAAGTTTCATTAACAGGAACACTGATATGCTAAAGTTTTTATGTTTTGGCAGTAGTTTTGGCGGTAATGTAGGTGTGAGGTTAGGTTTGGCGGGGATGACGTCACACACTCTAGCGGACGACGCGAGCAGCTGACTGACAGTGACTCTGTTGCTGTGGGCCGAGCTGGACCGTAAGTGATGTTCTGTACCTTATCTGTATCTGTCACTTGTCACATCAGCTGAGCTGACTGTCACTCATCGATCCAGACGGGAATTTATATGAGTGGGCGTGGGCTTTGAGTGGCATATGTTTGGGATTTTACCGGTTTGAGATAAATAGTATGAAACTTAACATCTCAAGGATTTGTCCTTTAACTCCTGACCATGTATTTACCTGGTTTTTGTTAAGTAAATATTTAATTTGTTAAGTCTTGTTAATCCCTACAAGAAAATTAAAAATGTTCAAGTAATTATTTTTGTAAATATACATTAGGAAACAAAATTATCGGCATGTTGACTTAACTCTCATACATATAAAAAAATGATTTATATTATTGGTTCAATTTTTTCATCCGATGTTATTTTGGTCAAATTGTACCTCATCTGATCAACTTTAAGATATTTTAAACTGTTCAAAATACATAAGAGAAAATCTAGCAGACCTAGAGCTCTAAATTTAATCAAATTAAAATTAAAGTTAAATTTAGAATTACAACTTTATTTGTATATGTACCGTAGATTCACCTTGTACATTCACTATTTGAGCTATTAAATTATTGGCATTTTAAATCTTTGAGTGCACAATGTATGATATGATCCTTAAAACTACAATTGCTTCACATAGGTAATGCTTAACTACGAACTAATTAATTGAAAAACAAATTAAATACAAATCATATCTTTAGATTCATTAAAATGTAAGTGATAACATGACGATCGCTAAGGAGTATTTAAACAAAAGATTCTCGCCAATAATAGTTCTTCTCATAGAATCAAGTAATCCATTTCCTCAATGTGCATAATTTCCCATTGCTTTGACAATTTTTGCAGCCTTGTTTTATGGAATCTACGATATTATGTACTTAAATACCATAACTTGCTGAGTGGACAAATAATAATTATAATGCGTTTTCAATTGTTTATCCTAAATTAATTAGATACACAGACTCTGTATGTCTCAATAATATATTCGCTATATGTTTGCTAACACACTTTGTTTAAAGCATATAGTCAAATTTAATCTAAACTCCCTACCTTATAAGTAAAATACGGTGTTAAAAAGTACTCTATTTATAAACTCTAACATTTGAAGATAAAACCATATGGCAGGCAGTAGAGAGTATACATAGAGTACTTCTAAAATATGGTACTTCTAGAGTATACTTCTATATAACGATTTCTTTCCTTAACCTGTATTTAACATTTTTTTAATTATGTAATTATAATAAGTTACACCATATTTTTTATTAAACAAACTAAAACCACCCGCCGTCATTAATTAAGTGAACGTAATTTTGACTAGAGAAATATTAATTAATACATATATTATTCCAGTTTAAATCTATATAATTAATACGCTACACGAAAGTTTGTCGGTTGAACTCCTCCGCCATTTCTTAACCGATTTTATCCATTGACGTCTCATTGGAAAGAGCGTGTCGCGTAGATTTGCAAACTGGCCTTACATTTTTGAAAAAGTCCCTTGGGCTCTGCCCCAGTGGCTTTGAAAGTTCCCATGTTATCCTTATGAAGAACATAATTGTTTACATTTTGATCAGCTGTATAATTTTATTGCTGTTATTTACTTTTTAATTCAATGAAACACATTGAGTACATTTATTTACTATTTGAGTTTGTGTAAACATAACCCCCAAGACGGATCGTGTTAGTATGGTTGTATCTTAAATTTGTGTATTTATCGTTGTTTTGTGTCGCTATGATGGATTGTGTTAGCATGATTGTAACTTAAATTTGTGCATTTATCGTTGTTTTGTGTAGCTATAATTTGTTTATTATTTGTTGTTTATTCCTTTTAAATGTCTCTGACGCAACGACAACGAAACATAGACAGGAGGCGCAATCGTGATAACGACCGCAGCTACAGAACAGTGGCGCGTAAAAGGCTTAACTCATCACAGTCTGAACCTGAACCTGGACACTATTAGGTTACAAATGCGCCCTAACACTACCCCAAAACGACTTTTCGTTCTCAATTGGCCCTCTATTAATGACCTGTGTTGCCTGGACAGCGAGGCATTTTGAGAAGGAGAGAACCGTCCGGAATGCTTCAGGTTTATCAATAACGCAGATAAACAGGGTCTGAGTTACACAACGGTAATATTTGAGTTGATCTTTTAAACTCATTGTAAATATGACTGTTATTCAATTTTAAATAACTCCTGTAATACTTTTTTATTGCTCGAATTCGAGCAACATGTACACTAGTTATTTATTATTTTATCAAACATCTTAATATTAATCAGCAGATTATCGTTACGATGTACATATAGTACCGTATAACCACTATTACAATACTGTACCAGCAAAACGTTAAGTCTTTGAGTCTACAAGTTATTACGCTATCGTTTATTATAACAAGATATTATAACAAGACTACAAGATCGCGCCACTCATCCTACACTCATCTTCATTCATACTTGGCTTAAAATACCTACCTTCGTATGTTCACCATTTCAGTAAAAATTATTAAATTATTTCAGAAATAATAGTTTGTAACTTTGCTATCGAATTCAGTTGTACTACTCATAATTTTGCAAATACCACATCGGGGTTTGTATTTATAAACAAGGACTATCCGATTGTTGGTAGATCAACTTGTGAAACTCACAATGTGATTTATTATCACAACTGTCGTGACATTTTATACAAATGCAATAGGTAACAAATAATGAATGGAATAAATACAATCATATATTAAACTAACTTAGAATTTAGAGGATCTTGATTTATTATTTGTAAAATTTTGCGTATATTAGCATTGATAAAACATAATATTTCTGTTTTATTGTAACTGAAGTATTTATTCAAATATCAGGTTTGCTGCAGCGGGGGTATTTTCCCTTTGTACTATGTTAAGGGCGTGGCTTGATTTTAACATAAGCTATGATTCTTTGTTTTGTTTACATTTACGTCGTTATTGTGTAACCATCATAGAAATCATATGGCCAATGTTAAAATTTAAAACTTTGAGTTACTTTTAAATTATAGGCATTATTAACAATTGAAATTGGTTTCGTCTAAACATTCCGAACATTTGACAAAACGACCTTGATAAGTTTGGCTAAAATATGTTCTACTATTATTGAGTTAATGTGTTAGAATGTTTGCTTTGAAGTCGATCCCAAAAAACTTCGCTTCGCTCCGCTCAATTAATCATTAAATATTTATTATTATTAATTACCTTTTTTAAAGTATAAATAAAAAAATCTATTTAAAAAATCTAGGCTACAGTAATTCCCTATACGCGTATAACAAAATGACACTGCCAACGTTCTCTTACGAACTTAGTGCTTTATGATTCAACTCAGTAAACATCTACGATGGAACAACAAAGTTTTCTCCAAGCTGGGGACGAGTGTTGTAATATTAGCGGAGATTTTCATCCCTCAACCCCAGTTTTGATTGGCTCCATTGTAACGCTTTCATTGCATTGGCTCTGAATTTGTAATAAAACCCCATTGTTCCCATCTGATAACAATTCGAACACTGTTGTTTTGATAAATCTATATCTATAAAAGAGGAACTATGTATGTGTGTATATATACGTTATGGACTCCGAATCCGCTCGACAGATTGTACTGAAACTTTAGGCATTATTAAGCATCTTTCAAGGATGGTTCGAGTGAAGTTTGGTGCAGATCCGTCAAAAGGGCTCTGCCCCAGAGAGTTTTAAGTGGGCCAATGTCAGACTTTTTGATCTACAATGTTTACAAATAAAAATAATTTGGTACTTTCCTGTTAAAGGGAACATTCATTATTATCGATGAATTTTTTCTCGATATATCGATATTTTTGTTTTCCGATTGTCACAAGTTGACAACTGATCTTGTTTAGGCTAAAATAGTCTATTATATGGATTAAGAAATGAAACTGTTCTAAGCTAACCTAACATAACAACCAAACTTGCTGTACCAATTAAAAATTCTGTTTGATAACAGAAAAGGCAAGTTAAACATGGAATGTTACACAGCAAGTTTGGTTAGTTATGTTAGGTTTTTTTTTTATAACAGTTTCATTTCATTATTGTTTGTTGATAGGTACTGAACAATATTTATCGTAGTTGTCAGCTGATATGTTTCAATTTGTTAAAATCGATATATCGAGAAAAAATCATCGATAATAATGAATGTTCCCTTTAACAGGAAAGTACCCGTTTACTTTCACCAACTGTTTTGTAGGTTTGAATAATCACAACATTCTGTATTAGCAATAGTCATGATTTGAAATAGTGCCACAGTGTTATTTCTACAGAGTGCAGCACAGAAAACTATTTTACTTTTAAATAAGTCCAAATGTATTAAACTCCAATCGCAGCACACCTGTGCACTCAACAACGTTTAATTTCTCCAATGTTAAATATTAAAAACATAAAAACCTGTATTATACACAATAAAAGGGATGACAAAGCCTTAATATTTTTATCTTTCGTTCTATACCCACACAATATAACATAAATTATTAAGTGAATAATAATCGTGCGTGCTATCTCGGGTATTCAAATGCCTCTCAATTTGTCATCAACCCGCCACATTACTATCATTAAAAGAGGGAACTCCAATAATACTAATACGAAACTTAAATCCACTTAAGCTGTACAACGTTACCAGACTAACAATTAAAAAAATTACGTCAAAATTGATTAAAGCAAAAATTATCAGTGGTAGGTTTAAGGGAGAAATAGTCTTAATCATAAGAATACTGATGATTTCATCCGAATTACCCTCTGAATTTAAGCAACTACAATTTCCTTAGTGTCTTGCTTTTGCAATCACCATTATAAGGCACTAGGGCAATCCCTGACTTTCGTCGGTTTAAATGTAGAAAAAACATGCTTTTCACACAGACAGATGTATTTTGTTAGCGCAGCAACGCGCGCCGGGTAACTGCTAGTTAAGCATAAAACGTAAACATTGACTAAGTGGATGCAATGTTCATAGGTTAAAAGCTTACT